CATTTTAGTGGAAAAATATAAATTTGTTTGGAACATGGAGGAAGTTTGTGTTCTTTCCTCCATGTTTGGAACAAACTTTTTTCAGGTAACTCTTTCAAACAAATGGTTTATGAACCTTCACATGACAGTTCATGCAAGCTCATCTATGCTCGCATTGATCAAAATTCCCTGGGACCCTGATGTCATGCCTCCTTTGCTTTAATGATTAGCCAAATTTATGACATCTGCATGGATGTACTACATAACTTCTGAACTTTTGACTAACTTTTAAGTAGATGATAATGAAACCATGTTAAACATCTGTAGGATTTAAGTTGTGGAAGGAGTGTCGGGTTTTAAGGAATATGATGGGGTTAAAATACACAAATAAACACACTGAAATAATAAATACCATGGTGAATGTCCAATGTTTTGTAGAATGTCACATCAGACTAATTACTGAAAAGTTTCATTTAGAAGTCAAAGAACATTTTTTAAGGATGCTGCGTGACACCATGTGCACAAATTCCAGGAGACTGGTCTGAAAACTCTAAATGTTTTCCACTTGAGTATAAATATTTTCACAGCTATAAATTTGACATTTTAGGACATCATGTAGCTTTCAAATAATTAATTAGGTCAATGCAGGGAAAAATTAGTGGCCATGGAATTTTTTCCTGGAGATGTGTATCAACACCAAGTTGGAAGGACATTGCTGACTGGACCCTAAAATACTGGTCAAGCCAATCAAGGAGGGAGTGTGTAGCAAGAACAGAACAAAGATGGTGATTTATATTGCGCATGCGCACATGGTCTGGCTGTACTCTTATTCCCCAATTGGCATATCTCGTTCAGCGATCAGCTTTCTAATTAAACTTTTGTTACTAATCAGAGAGAATCTACATGTACCAAGCATGTTTTGACATTACTGCCTTTTTTTTAGCGGATGCGTGCGAGCAAGGTCTGTGTCAATGTCGTCGTTTTTACCTCATAATTTCCCTCAAAAAATCAAATTCTGTCCTCTTTCTACAAAATTAACCCTGACATTTGAAGAAATAATGTCATCGTTAGCTGGTTAGGTGAGTCCAACAGCTTAAATCTAATTCTTCCTTCTACCTATAGACCTATACAGGAGAGGGGCCCCGAAGTTTAAAAATGCCCACTTTTAAATTATAACATCTCCGGTTTTCATTTATCATAAATTTTGGGAAGGTTTATTTGAGACTTATTACTAAGTATTTAGTTGGATGGTTGGCCATGTTCCTGCTAATATATTAGCAGGTAGGCCTACATGGCCAATCACTGAACTAAATACAACGGGACGAAAGGCATCGGATCACGTACGGTAAAGCCTTCAGTTTAGAATTTTTTAGACGCAAAGTGTAACTAGACCTAACGAGTAACGTCAGGCCTAAAACGCCAAATTTTCGACGGTTCAAAACAGGAACTTAGCCGCTTGAAATGTCTTTCCACTCCAGTCTCGTGCAGTGCAATTTTGAGTTTCACCTACATTAAAGGACAAATAAGTTCAAGATTACAATACCAAAAAGACTGGGCAAACATACCCTCACACATCGAATATGTCCAAGTTGGATGACAAGCTGGGTCTGCTGCCGGTGCAAGTGTGGCGCCGGCGGACACCGCTCACAAGTGCCATTCAAACAGCGCCCTCTAGCTCTCTTGGGTTACCACTAACTGTGCAAGTTGGGTGTCGTCTGCTTTCAGCATTTGCATGTTTGAATTTTGAAGCAAAAGTTATTCTTTCCATCCAAAGAAAGCATCTCGTTTCCAAAGACACACTCTTCGATAATATTATCCAGATTATGTACCCTGAATATGAGACTGCACTTCTTTGAGGTCAAAAATTGCTAAACCAAATGAAGCAATGGAACCCCAAGTTCATCAAGCTATTTTCAAACTTTATTCCAACTTCCTCCAATATGTTTGAAATAGTATCAGTGTTATCTTTAAAAAAAGATGCACTTTTTAAAAAATAGAAGTCTGCATGAATATACACAAATTACTGTTATGCTTTAATAGTTTTAAAAATGTCCTTTTGTCCTTTCAAATATTTATAGTTACGGTATAAAGATAAATGCAGGTTTCTGCCATGCTATGAGAGACCAAATATTCTTCAAAAAATTACAATGTACACATAAAGGAACTTGTCAAAGTAATGACAAGTTCAAATAGCACCTATTTCCTTTTTTTTAAATTTTATCTTTTGTCTTGGAAAGGAACTATGACAATGTCAGTTGCATCCTTGTGTTTGAATGGAAAGTTGAAAGTACTTTACGAGTCCAATGTCAACATGTCCATTATAATGCAATATCTCATCTAATACAGAGAATGCACATCTCTAGAAAGGCTCGAGTTGAAACAATGTGAATCAATGTAAAATATATTCCAGGACACGTCATTAAACTTCCTATATTTCCTCACATTTTGCCCTTCTCAAAATCAATTAATACTGTCACAGTAACCCAACTAATTTTCTTAATAACCCAAAGTGGGTTTCCAAAAGAGCTTGTGCACAGAGAAATGTGCCATAAATCAGTTTCGATTATCAATATGTACATGTACATGCTACATCAGTCCTATCAGCACAGCCATATGTCGACTCACGCACTGAACATGTCCTCGGGCTTTTAATCCAAATGACCTTGCCTTAGAAAATCACTTGTACACGCACTCAGTGAATCAAGCTAAGTTTTTTTTATATTTCTTTTCATGACGGTGATTTATCCAAAATACACATGTGAAAGGACAGGCCCAAAGTCCTTGAAAAGTATTGTTTTTTTTTCCTTTTTTTGATTTACATGAGCTGCTACTCCTCTTTGGCCCACAGGACACTAGGGCCAAAATCTTTTTACAATAGGCTATTGTTGTGTGTGTCCAAAGTGACTTTATTTTGCCTGAGATCTCTTTTGACCTACATACTAGTCCATGGAATCAAGTTGGAGCACACAAATTACTCACAACAACAAACATTGAGATGTTTATCTGCCCCTCTAAAACCCCACCAAAGAAAACAAATTCTCCCATTTTGGCATTTCTTCCACTCTAGGAACATAGTACAGCTGACCAACCTTGCTCTACCAACCCATAAAAATCCTAAAAACCAAACAAAAAATCTTCACTATAAAACGCATCTGTACTTCTAAAAAACAGGGTACAAATGAGTTTTAAAAAAAATTTCCACATTAAATGAAAAAGTAAAAGCTGTTACTTCAGGCTTAAATAAGAAAAAAATTATCAAGAGTACTATTTAAAGACATCTATGGCACCCAGTTTGCTGTAATGTGATGGTGCATTAACATTAACAATCAGTCCGAGTTGTCCCTAACTGCAGAGTGATACAAGAGGTTCCAATACCGTGTAGAGATTTTAAAATGCACACTTCTCAAAGAGCAAAGTTACCAGGCACATGATAATTCAGAAGCACAAGTAAGCTGAGAGAGGAATCAACGAGCTCCACCATTGCTTTTGATAAACCCGAACAAATGAAAAATTTTATGTTCAAGCATGGCCCAATCAAGGAAGACAAGTCATACAAATGAATTCAAATAAAACATTGGGTGTAATTTCTTAAGAATTTGCTCACAGTGGTGACAAAGCATCATGAACATGGACACCGCTAAACGAGAAATATCAAGGTTTTTCAAGTGATGTAAAATTATGGGCAAAGACAATTCAGGAAGCGTACTATGTCCATGGAGATGCACACATTTTTGGATCTGTGTATATCTATCAGCCGTTTCATGTACGCCAGAACGTTGACAGACGTCAAAGATATGCACATTTTTGCACACATCCGTATAAATTGAGCACCGACTGTCAAAAGTCATGTGACTGAACGTCCTCTACATCCTATTGGGTTAGTGGCATCCATTCTCCACCCATCTATGGGGTAGATGCATTTAACACACAAAATCCAGCAAGAGACCCCACACGCATTTCGTGTGCATCCATACTGCTCAGGATATGCCAGGTAAGTGGTGTGAAAACAAAAGATGTTACCCGACCGAAACAGGATCAAAAGAGAAAGTTTCACCTGAATAGGAGAAGTTCGCGTCACAGCTGTTAGATACAGTTTGGCCAACATCACTACAAAGACCGATGTTGGACTGGCCTAGACAAACATTTAGAATGGGACCCATGGGCAAGGTTGCATTACTGGTCAGGCTGCATAAACAAAATAAGTTATTGATCATTCCTACCTGTCCCACCAAAGTGCTTAAACTACTCTTTTTTTATTTTCTTTAACAGTGTATATGTGAAGATTCAGAGATTGTGGGAATTCACTCCCGGATACAACATCCTATTTCACCTATAAACAAACATTCATAAATACCTCAGTTTCCCTATTCAACAATGTCCAACGTGACTGTGTAGTAACATTTGATAATCCCCGCTAAGATTTGATAATGCCAGCATCATAAAAAACACTCTGGCACCTGGATACAGGACAGTTTAATCCATCTCTAATGGTCAGAGTCTCCCATGAGTACCAAGTCCATATATAGAGATTCTTCTAGACAACTTGCACAAGGAATATGCCATAAAATGGACGGGGGTGTTCGGGAAAATAAAAATAAAGTTCTATAACACCTACATGTATTATAACAAAATCATTGGAAATCTATCATACATTTACTTCTTTTGACTCTCTGACTAAAGAACGGTATTTTTGAATGGGAATATAAATATGTTCTTGGCCAGTCTTAAATGCACACTTAAGACTGGTCAAGCACATATTTATTCCCTTTAGTATAATCCACAGAGGAACCTACCTGGTACCTTCAGAAGTCTACGTTCATGTGGAATTGTGGATTAAAATCAGAGACTTGTTCCATTCACTGATGCTGTTAACTGTCTGGTATCCTGTCTTCATGCTGTGCCATATACTTGAGCAGTACTAGTACAATGCTTAAATGCAATAGGTCCATCAAAATACTTTGTGGAAACTTGAGTTATATGACACCGGACTTGTCATGTGACAAGGCTTTACATCTAGCAAAGTCTGCAGCTGAGTGTTCGCCTGAACAATCACAGAGTGTGCTTGTTGTAGTAATGTCTCACTGGAAATCTGGAGAACTTTTCCAAATTTCATCCTTGCTTCCATCCCATGTTTGTCTCCGTCATTGAAATCACTTGTTGGCCTGTATTTTGTTCAAACTAAATGAAAATATTTTGGTCAATAGCATACAGTTTGATACTCAACTTGCCAAAAACTACTAGAAATTTCAAAATCAGCAGATTAAAAACGAGGCACGTTGTAGACAAAGCCAGGATTCAGCAACTGGTCGTGCAGCAAATGTAGGCGACATGTGCTTCTGCCATTAAATTAACACACCTCTACACTCAAATAAGACTTGTTGGCATCGTATAAACAGAATAATTATCAGAAAGTGATATCGATCTTCGACATTGTCGATGTGGAGCCAAGATAAAAAGGAAAAACCCCAAAATGTAAGTTGTTTAGGTGAGAAACTAAAAATGATTGATATTTTCATGTCGGGTTTGGGATGTCATCAGGAAAAAAACTCTCACTGGACCCACCTTCATGAAAAAAAAAATGATGACGAACAATTTTGTATGCAGCCTTATCACAAGCCTTCAGGTAATTAAGAATGGATGGATCTGCAGGCATGAAATTATTGCGCAACATGGCAGAGACCGCGAACACATTGAAAATTGTAACCAACAGAGTGAATAAACGATGAGATTCACAAAGGTGGTTGGATGAGGGTTGGTAGACTGGGATCCTACCACGCTTGTACACTGATAAGATGACACAGACCTGTTGTCACACTGTAGTTTGGGGATTCCAACCTGCCCTTAGGGGGTATCTTGTGGGTCATCACTTTTTGTGATTTGTGCAGTTTAGAGAAGACATGGTTAACTTGCCTTTTTGAACCGTGTTCTCTATTCATTTTCAGGGCAAACTCACACAAGAAATCTTTCCTCTGTGCTGCAACGAGCTTTATGACCAATTGACTATACATCATAAGGCCTTCAACTCTTCCTTAACATTTATGTAGTACTGGAGAAGTAACACTTCCACAAAATATAAATGTTGGGTGCAACCACTTGATCTGCATGATCACTCCATCACAACGTGATTTCAGTCAATCCTGTAGAAAAAAATCCGAATTTACAATTTTGTATAAAAAAACCATCTTCTCAAAACCATTAACATCAAAGACAGGCACTGTCTGATGGAGAAGTATGTAATTGAGAACCTGCAGATCGACCAACTGCACCCAGGTATTTCAAATGCTGAACTGTCTTCCCGTCAGTCGCTTGAGTTGTTGACAATGAACACAGTGTGTTTGGTGACCAGATCAGGTATAATAAGCTCCTCAATGATGCAGGACCAACTTTTGTCTGTGATGGACAGCTTCTGGTATTCTTCCGGTGTTACCATGGTTACCCACTCGTTGCGCTCCTCTAGAATATTAGCTATAACCACCTGCCATCAAAGCACAACAAATAAGTAGAACCAAAATAAGTAGCATTGTTATGATCCTGTACCTATACAAAAAAATAAATCAATTGATTGGACTGGAGATTCAAATTTTGCATCCATGTGCACCAACATCCAACACCTGTTTAGTTCGACAGTGAAGAAACATTTAGACATTGGATATTTTTTAACCACTCAAAGTAGTTCATGGTAACGATACCCATGGTCAATGGTATCAACATTATTTTCCACCTATTGTTCAACAACAGCTTGTCCTAGGCACGATATAATTTCAGCCGAAAATAATGACATTTTAAAACTACAAAATGCAACAATTTTTTACAACGCTGAGCTTTACAAAGACTAACTGATGGAGGTTATTCTCTCATGGCTTGAATTGATACTTCTTAAGACATCTTTGATTTTTTGGAAACCTACCCTTTTTTACACATATCCACTAAAACACCATAGACCAGATCAAGTGTCTATGCTGACCTCAATGGGTATCACTCAAGCATAGGGACAGAAGACAGACGTCACCTGGTACTGCACATGGAATTCACCAAGACGTGGTTAAACGTCCTATGTAAGGGGGTACACAAAATCCCTGTACATCATCATCAGGATATCAATCCACTTGACAAAGACAACCCCCTCCTCAAAACCATCCTCTCCCCAACATACAAGTATGCTATAAACCACAGCGGTCCTCCACTCTTTTAACCAAGCAAAAACAAGTTCACCTGGGAGCAAGGTTGAGTGGAGTTACAGTTAACCATAATTTGACTAACATCATCCAAAGACAGAGTGGTTACACTACTTAATGCAACTAACCGGAACTAGACCTTAGAGGCACTGGTGTGGCACTGTTCTCAATACCTTTGTTTTATGAGAAAGCACAAAGGGAACCAATGACCATGCAAAGGGGTGGCAACCACAAGCGATAAATGCAAAACCCACCAGAAAATATGGCCATGTTCTTTCATGACAAGTTCCAGTGCAGTTCTTGAAGCATGACTGTGGCCCATCTGGGCACTGTAAAGAGCTACTGACCCAAGGTCGGACCATTTTATCATTTAAACTCAAACTTGCTAAAGCACTGTCCTCTCCAGCACAAAGTACATCAAGTACCACTTTTCCAACTCTACTGTGTTAGATTTGCCAAACACCCTACCTGGTGGTTGTACTTTTCCAAGGCTTGTCTGGCCTTGTCCAACAGCAACGACCGATCCGTCTCCAGTTTGAACGACACAACAAAGGCCTCTGGGGCCCAGTGGCGAACCAACGGAGTCAGCATCTTGGGCACCACATGGAGGGTGATGTTAGGTGGACCATCGGCTGATTGAATTTTGTGCTCAATCTGCAATCAGAGAAGACATCTTGGATTGATGGAAAGAAAGGATTCAAGTAGTGTTTATAAACCACACCCATTCATCCTAATGTCAATCACTGCATTATCTACAATGCTACTTGATGTGATATCTACCACCGTCGGGACAGTTACCCACTGACATCCATTCACAGGGACGTTGTTACTAGTTAACACAGTGCCCTCTGTCAGTTGTACATGGAGACCACACTATGAAATGGTTACTAAGTTTCTTTACAAATTTGCTGGCTATACCAGCACTTTGATTGTGCCATCTTCTTCAAGTTGACCCGCTAGGCGGTGGCAAATGAAATAAACACTTGCACTGCAGCGACCAAACAGAAAAGTTTTCAAGATTTACAAGAACTCACCATTTCCTGGCTAGGGATGTAGAAGTCTGACACGGCCGCGGCAAGGTAGAACATGGCATGGGTACCTGCAAAGGACAGAGCCTCAGCGGCAGCCTGGAGGAGGTACAGGTACTCCTGTAGTACCGTGAACTCAATTAGGAGGAGGCTGTTGGAGGCCTGGACCTCCTTGTAACCTTGCAGGATGGACAGGAGCTTGGGGAATTTCTCTTGGTTGGCTGGGGGGTTGACAGGGGAAAAAATTGATGTGGCGCCTAGCAAGGTGAAGTTATGCCACCTATTTCTGGTCACACATGTGTAACTTTTCAGGATAGAGAGATGTTATTGAGGAAATTCTCTTGGCCAGCTGTGAAAGAGACAGCGTGAAATAATTGATCTGTGGCCCTATACTGTGAAATAATGTCACAGATTTTTGGTAATGCCCTGCTGGAATCTCTTGGAATAGGGGCAAGTTACATGTAAGTTGATAAGTCATAGTTAACTGTCACTTGACTAACACCAACTGAAAGATAAATGGCTAGACTATCTGGTCAATTATACTGAGCAACGCCCCCTGGACATGTTTGCATCACTGCTTATCCTTGGCTTTTTTCATGATTCCTATAAGAAAATCCAGCAGCCATAACTAGAAGTCATTACTGCAGTGGCAACATGCTTGTGTGCAGACAGTAATACACATAAATGCGGGTATTGTTGTGTGCCGCAGTGCACTGCAGCTCACATTTTAAGAATATGCATTTGAGTGTGGTACCACTGATATAATCACTTCAGTCATGGGGCCTGTAGCACTGCTCAAGTTAGCAGAAAAGTCAAGCTTACTATAGCAAAAAATTTTGCTAACCGTAAGCACTACTTTACAGTTACACTCTCATAGAGATTTCCATTGTTCTGTCACATTAAGCGAGGTACATTTAAGTATGCCTTTAGCCATGCTAACTGCTTATGGTCTTTATGAAATACAAGGAGTCTGTTAACGTAACATTGTGTGCTTAGCAATGCCATAAAATTTGGCCCTGGTCTTGGTTGGAAATAGGGTATTGTGATCTGGGTTAACATCAGGACTGGAACTCTCTCTCACCAACTATTTGTTGTGTGCCATCTGGATCTTTCCGTATGTCCAATATATCAGTCAATCTGGTGTTGGCAAGGTGGCGTTCATAGGGGATTAGTGTCTTGTGCCTATGTAGGAAGATCACGGCGTATCCTTCTGAAAGGAACTGTGTGCTCACTGCATTAAGGAAATTCCTCTTTCACACTAAGTTAAACAATAATTACCAGAACCATGGCCTGGAATCAGATACATTCTCTGGACACTCCTTCGGTACCCACCCACAGAACTTGTAGCTCTTCTAATGTCATATATCTTATCTCTTGCAGGGTGTGCAGTGTTCAGTATGTTGGAGAGACTAAGAACACTCTCGAGAAGCGTTTCTATGGCCATAGATCTACAGTCAACACCAAATGACTAGATACCCCTGTAGGCCACCACTTCAACCATCCTAACCATTCTATGTCTAACATGATCTCACAGGGCATAGAATTACTTGGGTTCAGTAAAGATGCTGTTCGCTTCAACAGGGAGAAGCATTGGATCAAACCCCTCTGCACCATACAACCCCACGGCCTGAACATCCAAGAGGGAACCTACTAATTAACACTCTTTTCTTTCCCTCTTTTTTGTCAGCAGATAATTACCCCCCTCCCACTTGGGGTCCAGTTCCATCCATTGTATTTTTTCTTTGATCTCTTCCCACCTTACATTCCATTGTTATTCAATCATGGCTTTTATGCACTCCCCTTTATCCTGTGCCCCCTCATCCAGCCTGCAGCTGTCTTGACCTTTCCTTTTGTCCTCTTGCATTCATCCATGCTTGGTTGATTCCCCATTTGTTTGTTTGTCCTGTCCACTTGTCATTTTGCCTTTGAGAAAGATTCTGCTAGGATCGAAATGTCAGGCCCTCCATATTTTGAGATTTAAACAATTTCAAACAATTTTTGCCAGCATCCTGAGGCAGCACCATCTGAGCCTAATTCAATAGGCACCTTACTGAATCCTCAAAAGGTTTTCTCTGTGCAGGAACCAGTGGCACATATATTTACTTTGTATTTTTAACAAGTACAGTAATTACATTACATGAACTCGCACCCGCCTATGCTCTTTTTTTCTTGCCCACTTCTTTCATTTTTAGATTTTTTTTTCTGGTCACTGTATCTTGACCTTTTTCATCTAATAGCATAATAGCTATAGATGCAAGTTTGGAACCTGTTTAATATCTGAAGGCTTCTTCACTTTTGAAAACAAATGACAAGAGTACAGACAAATCAACTGCCGTCTTGGAAAAACACACCGTGGTCAAAGAAATTATTAACAGCCACAGGAAAAGGACCTATTCATTTCTGTTATTTCAAGAAGCATACAGAGCAAATAAAACAATGCATGCAGTTGCCAGGCGCTATCTTCATCAATCCTAAAAAATCTTCTCACGCCTTCTAGTGGATAATGAAACATCCTGGAGGGTTAACATGCAACAATGGATGACACACACCAAATCTAAGCTCATAAAACTCATTATGCTAAAAAATATCGAATTTCATGACACAAAACCCAAACGTGACTCATTTGAAGAGAATCATTTCATGTCCACAACAGCATTTGACATTCAAATGCGTATGTTTATAGTAAACCTCAGAGCGACAAAAATTTTAACAGGAGCTTTCTAAAACCTGCTCCTATCTTATATTTTTTGGTGTATCCACAATACACTCCTTGTTCAGGCTTGATGTCATGCCTATCATACAAAAGTATCTACATTCTGGAGTCCAATGACAAATGTCAGGAAAAACAGGGACTCAAGGTTCTTTGGGTTAACGCACTTACATCACTCAAAGCAAATATTTCACCTTTCTGGAATTTACTAGGTTTGCCACCTATTGTGAAACTATCTCTGTACAAGGAAGTGAAAAAGCTGAAAAACATTATTGGATACACACTGTTCAGAGAAATCACACAACTTCTGCCTCAGGCAACTGGTGCTTATGGTGTTTGGACATTTACACCCACACGAATGACTGTCTGGTGGCTACTCTAATCTGACAGGCAACCTCCATTGATGCCCGAGTATTTCAGCCAGGCCTGCTGCCCAGTAAAGAGAGCCCAGAATTGTGAGGTGTTGCGTAATTTCCTTTGTTCCCAGTGGCGTCTTTTCAAACGTGGCTGGATTTGCATGCAGTGGTACTGTATTGCTCATCAATGGGGAGCTGGAGCACTTTTGCCTGCGATGCTAATCCGCTGGCGCGCTGTGCTAAAAACAATGGTATACTGTTTCAAAACAATGACGGATTACCTCCGATAAATGCAAACTGAAAAATGATGGCAATTCCCAGCAGCTGGTCTTTTGTTCTGAGTATGGTCTTTTGCTATAAGGCCCAGCTCTTTTGTCCAATTTCGGGCACCCCAGCTATGCATACAAACCCAAGGTACCCAAAACCGGGTTCCCGGCAGCATATGGTTAAACAAGAAAAATAGTTTCTGCTACTATGTTCTTGGGGGAAGGGCAACCCCCAGTCACTTCCTGTTGGTCCTACCTTCCCTATAAATTAGTGGGCAGGACTAGTCAACACCAAAATGCACACTTTGTTTTTTGACTAAATAAAGGATATTCGGCAGACGCTGCACCTCTTTTCCCAGAGCTGAAGTTATCGATGAAACGAACCATCTTGTTCTCCAGAGGTACAGCAGTTCCCCCAGACTGAATGCAACCACACACAACAAAGGTTCACACAGTCTTATTATTTTTAACGGTTGAATACAAAGGCTTCAATGTTCAATTAAATATAACAGTTGATAACTAAAAGTTTAAATTCACCCTAAGTAGACCTCCTTTTGTTGACGGATACTTTAAGAGGTAGCCCTGGCATTTTCTTGCATCATGACTTCCCACTGAAATGGGGTTCTACTCAGGGGACGCCCCTTGGCATGGTTCTAGGGGTACAAGTAAGCCTAGCATCACAATTAACTTAAGGGGGGAGAATTTTTTGTACAACAGAAGCATCTAACCATTGAAACACAAGTACATGTAGGTCTGAGGACAATCCTTACTTTCTACCTCTCAACGACAGTGACCAACTACAGTGCAATTTGACCAATTAAAATGTAGTTTTCAGTTGAGGACAAAAGGAAGATAAAACAAAAGAGATGGGAACCACGCTGTAATTGGTTAAGCTGTCTTTCCGCTGACAACAATGACCTTTCAACTGACATGACTGAGAGATGGCACTTGCTGTGAGTCTTCCATGGTTGTGGGCTACATAAAATGTAGCAAAAATTTCATCAGCTATAACTAGTGTAAGTTAAAGGACCCCCTCCCAATCATCCGAAATATATCCTAAAACGACTTGTGAAATCTTCAGGCTTAAATATTTTTGAAAGCGCAAAATTTCCAAACGATTGATGTAGCAAACTTTGAGGATTTTGTATTTGGTGTTTCTATATATAGAAACTTTCAGACTCACCTCAATACAGGTAGATGCCAGTGACATTATTTTGCCAAACTGCTGGGTTAATTTTCTAGAAAAAGGGCAGGGTTTTGAGGGAAATTATGGGTTGAAAGTGACCACATTACCATAGGCACCGTGAAAGCACACATCCACTGAAAATAAAATAGCGACATTGTCAAACTTACTTGGTAGGGTGTCTTTGGTTGGTTATGAAAAGTTTCATTACAAAGCCGATCGCTGATTGGTCGAGATGAGCCAACTGGGATGTAAGAGTATTGACGAGAACAGCCAAAGCTGTGATGTAAAAGTAAGCCAAAACTTTTTAGAAGAATTTTGCTGATTGGAGAGTGCTTAATTTGCATGAACATGATGAATAAAAGACAAAGTTTAATTGGTTTAAAATTTTTTTATGCGGGACTGGTGCTGAGAGCACAAGTACTGACTTCACTGATGAAGGATGGAAACAAGTTTTTCTGTTGCAACTTGAGTGAAAAGATTTAGTAGGCTTATTTCATTGAGAGTTTGTAATCTCATCCAAATAGCATGGTGAGACACGCGAGTACATGTAGGTCTGTTAGACAGAACGGCACACTCATGCAGTCTACTATGTTTCTGTGTCTACTTGACCACTAATGTTGATAGAAATAAGGTTAGAAAGATAAGTTTCTCCCACAATTCACTTTTCCACGCCTGACCCAAATTTGGTCATAATTAAGAGACATTGCCAGACTACCACTCTTTTTCAGGGCCGACCTTTATTTGTAAAAGTAACTAAAAACAGAGGGGTCCCCAAGTACACAATCCCCAAAGCTTCAGTTATGCATTGTGCAAAATTGGTCTTATTTATGGAAGGGCTGCGTAGCACCATGATCAGAATATCGACGAAAATATAATATTAATTCAGCGCTCTGAAATATGTGATTGCCGAGCTTTCGGTAACTGAGTACCTTCTTCAGGCCAAGCAGATTCAGTTCTCAAAAATAACCATTCCTGGTGGTAAGATTTCACAGTACTTCCAGAACTGTAAGGTTTATACAAACCTTACCAATAACAACGTAAATAGTCATATCCAACATGGTGCTACTTCAGTTTGCATGAAATGTCTATGCTGTTACACTGATTTTTCCCCTATAATTTCATGAGGTCTCCGAGGATACAATGTTGTATTGGATGGGGGGTTCATTTACATTATACCCTTTTAAATGGTGCAATTTATGAAAATTTTCCTTGCCACACCCGTGTCCATGACTACCTGCCTAGTTCACACGTACACGGTCATGTCAGTTGAAAGGTCATCGTTGTCAGTAGTGCGGCAGCTTCACCAATTACAATGTGGCTCCCATCTCTTTCTGTACAGTTTTCTTTCGCTCTCGAATTTCTACATATCATGCATGGCCTGAGGCTACTTAAACTTACAGTCACAAGTACGACCCGTGTACCATTCTTCATGTGACCCTCTGCAAACTCATGCATACGCAGCTTTTTGTCGGCGAAGTCGGCCGGTGGCTCGTGAGACTCGAAAAACACTTCCCACTCATCCTTCTTTTTGTTTTCTGTGCCCTGAGACAACTTACTACTGCCATCTTTCTCCCGTTCCGTGTTCTGCAGCAAACTTCTAGCAGTGGACATCGTCAACGTACGGTACTGTATGAACTTTCCGGTGGTTTGTGTCCAAATGACTGTCACTGGTTAATTACACGTACGTAAGCTACTGACTAGCTAGCGGCTATGCTGTAACCACTTCCGCACCCCCAGCCGCAGCCAACTACACGTAGTTGATTCCGATTCAAGCATGTCTAGTGAGGGCGTTCTTTTCACTTTATGCAGCTTCAGCTCATGCGTTCACTGCACTAGTTGTATTTTTTTAAACAAATGAATACAGTACAGTACAGAAAACGTTTAAACCTGTTTATTTATTGTTAATTTCTGATCACACCAAGGGTCTCCAAAAAGACTTTAAGTCCATCTAAAATCAATCCCCAGATAAAATGATGAAAAATTGAAAACGGACAAATAAAAAGCATTGTCTAAATCCTTCAATAATTGGAAAACAAATAATTTTTATTCGCCCTCCTTTGACACGGTGTCGGGGAAGCAAAAGACTAAAAGATAATTCATGAAAAAAAGAAAGAAAGCAAAACCCCAAACGAAGAGGAAACCCCCGTATCTCCCATATCCTGGCATTATAACGCATGCTCGGCCGATGCCCATTGAAGTCTACACAATATGAAGGTTGCGCTAAGGTAAGCCCTACAGAAATACTTCAATAAAAGAAAATCTATCAACTGACCACAAACGAAGACTGGACTCGACTGGACAGGTCCTTGGTCTGGCGCACAATAGTTGGTTAATCTTCAGACAAATCGAGTGTTACGTAAGACGGCCCAAACAGGACAGAGCTGAAAAGAAGGGCAATCCATTGGAAGCCCAGGAAACAACCCGAAGGAGAAAGTAAATACTACCGTGCAGCCAACGGTCTTGAGAAGGAAAAGATGCTGCAGCAAAATGATCTGATCATCCACACTTGTACCGCATTTTGATTTTTGGAGCAGCCCGTTAAATTTCAAAATGATGTTTCGCAGAAAGGTAAGCCGAATCCTCATGTTTATGTTACTCTTTGCTTTTAACGGTAACCAGGAGCAAAGAAGAAGCGAATAGGCTTAAATGGTCACCATCATAAGGACACTTTTGAAAGGGTAAATTAAAGTCTTCGACCGGAGCATGCGAAAAAGGACGAGAGGTGAGATGAGCCCGTATTTGAATTTGAAATCCAATCCAAGGCACTGAAGATTTTCGCTTGAGTTGCTCCAGTTGTTCGTATAATTGTGTTTAGTATAGAACGGGCATCGGCAAGGAATGAGTATCAGTAACACAAATTTGCTTACCATGCTAAGGAAAAACAAAATGTGCGTATAGACAATTTTTGATTTCAGTAATATTTCTAAGGATGGATTTTGGATTTTTGCTCTGCCCGACGTGTATTAGCCTATAACACTGGATACTCAGTGTTTGCCCCTGAAGGCTTGTGGAAAAAACCCACAAGCGTACTCGAGTGGGACTTGACCTTGAACTTCCAGCTTACTAGCGCAGACGTCTTCACCACTCGACCACCAGGAATATACCAATCAATGGATGCCAGAGATTCGAAAAAGTTTTATTTGCAGTTGTGTGGGGCGGGGGTTAAGTGTGTTATTCCAATTGGTGGAACTAGAATCATCATCACTTTCAATATTTTCCACATGATACATATATTGTGAAGACAATAGTCTGTTTGGATGGAGACCGGAGGATGGATGCTAGAAAGCATTGCTTGTCCCCAGTTATTAATACATTGTGTTAGATATAATAAAATATGAATAATCTGATGTTTTAATACATGTAGTAAGATGGATAACATAACATATTAACATAACATAACACAACATAAAGTGACGACACATAACAAAATGTAGAATCTTCAGAAACTGGCCTCACAATTGTCATTGTGCCCGTGTTTTGTTCTTTCACTACATTACTCTTTTTACTGGCTCTAACCTGAGGGAATTTTTTTTCACATTAAGTTCTTTCATTTTCTTCAATTTTTGTGTATGTTTTAATCGTTGACGGCCAAATATCATAGCCATATGCATTTCATCCTGTGATTGGGTGCTGTTCGATTTTTAAAAAATATTGAATTAAAAGGTGATACTACCCCTTCTAGTCGTAAGTATTTTCCCTTTCCTGTCAGTTTGCAGGCTCTAGTAAAGAGGCTGGCTTCACAAGACATGTAAACTCATAAAATGAACCAAGAAAACTGGTCCTACTAGTATTCTGTAGTCTACCCTAAACTGGAGTATATTCAAATGACATTTATGTTGCACACCAAGAATTCTTGAGATAGATATTTACGTTGTCATTCAACTTTGGGAAAGCGAGTTACCTCCACCGTAAACTTGGCATCCGCTGTTCATTTTCACATCTTGAGTTTTACAATCTCCTTTTTTTGCTCGTGACAGATTTGCAAAAACATCTGCGTCTTCATTCTACCGACAGTAATAGTGTTCGGTCTTGTACTGAACTTCAGCGGAAACTGGTCGGTCGAGCAAACACAAAGCCAACCGCATCCTCACTGGGGTATAGGCAACGATTTCCCCGTCGACTACGACTCATATGACTCCATCGACGGTCACGTCCACGGACGAGGCAGTCTCTACGACCACGATCGGACAGATCCAAAATCTACTAGCGGCCACAAACGCTTGGAACCATCTTTAAAGTGGACTAATTTGTCAGCACTAGTTGCAAAAGGGACAAAGTTTAAAGTACAACGGGCTCTTTATCGTTTTGCACCAGAGGTAAGGCTACAGATTACTGGCCCGAGGTTAAGAGCAATACCTGTAATGACATCCATCCTTCTCAGGAACGATCAGTGCTGTAGGACTCGAGTCCAGGAGTCAGACTCGAGTCCTGGACACCAGTTACTTTTTTTTCCACTCGGACTCGACACGAGTCACATTGGGAAATGACTCGGAATTGACCATGCTGACTCGGACTCAAGCTTGGTGACTCGTGACGCGAGTCATGTACTGTCCTGAAGAAAAAACCAAATACAAATTTACGAGACGAACGTAACATTTCTTCATAACGTAACTCAACGCCGGGCAGCGGAACATGGCATGCATGCGATGGTGCCCCGATAGAGCGCATGGTTCTGTCAAAGGGGCATTATGCGCCCACATCTAGCGGCACTTGCCAGTACGGATCATGTGTGCTTTAAAATAAAAAAAAACTTCTGTTAAGGGATGGGTTGGGTGAACATTCGCTCTACCAGGGTACTTGATTCTGGGCCCTTGTACAGAAGGTTAATAAAGTAAAGTAATAACGTAAATTCAAAGTTTACACGTGGATTCTGTTTCTTTCTGATAAAAAAATGTAGGCCTAGCTTTTACTCCGTTATGAACCACAGCTCTTTGGATAGTGATTAATAAACCTGAACTATCTGAATAAAGATCTCAAGCAAAAACCACAGAATTTTAAGTATGTGCAGCAAACAAACGGCCGTGGACTTGACTCATGACTCGAACTCGAAGGCTTGTGACTCGCGACTCGGACTCGACATTGGGGACTACAAAACTGGGAACAATTCAACCAAATGATAAGAAAACCGTCAAGTTCGTTTTTATTGTTCACGACGAAATGATAGAATCTGTTGTTGTTAACAGAACTCAGTCATCTAGAGGATTTCGCCGATTGAAGAAATTCACGGCGAAGTCAAAGCTTGTAATGCAAAAAGGTGATTTTATTGAGTGATGATTGACTTCATAGCGGAAAAGTTATATTCTTAAGTTATATCAACCCGGTTCAAGTTTTCACTGACTATATTCTGCAGGTTTTCGATACTTTCCCCACTGAGTTTCTTCCCGGCATCAAAAGTCCCTGTTGGCTGGACGTTGGTACCGAAGAACTCAAGTGCTTGCCGTCCTTCTTTCTGGCTGGTTTCCCGAAGTGTGGTACCAGCGACGTCTACAGCAAACTTTACCAGCACCCCGGCATTGTGCGTACCCTGAAGAAGGAGCCTCACTGGTGGACTCGGCAAAGATTTAATGGTACATTATGCAGTTGATGTCAGGCAGCTGGCTAATACAAACACTCAAACGTACAGACCCTTGGGCGGAACCCCTTCATTTCTGACCAATAACAAACCTATAGGATGTAAAGGTTATCTTTAAGTTTGTCAGTCGAGATCATTACACCAGTAGCAAACCATCCTCCACCCACTCACCCCCCCCCATTTTTGAAAACGTTTGAGGGCCTGATTTTCCCCCTTCATTTTCAACAACAGGATCGTCGTTGGTCGAATATGCTGGAAATTTCCAGACCCTGGCAAAGAGAATTTCAGAGAGTGATTTGACATCCAAAACTCTTATTGCCGGTAAGGTTGTTTTCTTTCTCTTCTTCCCAATGAAAAGAAACAAGTTATTAGAAAACGCGTGGCTTTTCCTTTCCGACACGCTCAGATTCCATCATTGATAATACCGGTACACAATGTTGGTTTCGAACGGCGCTTGCTAAAAACATTTGACAATGACCAAATAGCAAACTTTGGCTGATAGGGGACGCTTCTGCAGCCACTGCTTGGAAGAACAACCACTGGCGGTTTTTCTACCCCACTGCTGACGAGCCGCTGTACATCACAGCGGAGCTGATTCACCAGTTTCTACCAAAGTCCAAGATCATTTTCCTCCTCCGTGACCCAACCGAGCGGTGAGTATAACCAACTCTACATGTACCTGCCACACACACATCCAAGTGTGTATTTGCCTGCAACTGGGGACCCCCTAGTGTTCCTCCGTTTGTACTTCAACTTTTTTAGAAGACCACCCATATGTTTTGTACACAGTTGTCAATCTGTCAATCGGGGACCTTATTGTACGCTATTGTTCAGGGTCCCCAATTGAACGCAGAAACAAACTCACCCACGCCCAATCTTAAGCGCGTGCAGGTGTATGAGCAAAGGCAGAACCTTCAGGTGGGAACCAAAACATCGTTAATGGACCCGGCACGCTCCATGAACTGACAATGATCTCTAGGTGGTGAAAAGAAAAAGACCACGCCCCTGATACAAATAGACTCTAAAGGCCTATATATATAGGAATCAAAGAACTGTTGTTTTACCGTTTGAAGAAAAAAGATTATCGTGCACGAGTGCTCTGCAAAGGAGATGAGGGCAAGCAAAGACTGAATAATCTTTTTAATCTTGTGCAGTAGCATGGTCTAGGATGTCAATTTTGTTGATGAAATTGTCGCAAAGCATTTTGGATAGCCTACAACCATTATCAATATACAAGTACCTGCTTTCCATGCGCGGGTGTCCAGGAGGAAGTGGTTGCGCGGGTCATCAGGCAAACAAATACAAATCAAATGGGAACTCGCATAATCATGTGTTTCGAAGTAACTGGATTTCTCCGGTGCCCTTGCAGCATGGGGGCAGAGGTGACAGCAAACTGTTTAGCCAATCATTGCAAACTATTCTGCTTTATCCTAATGGTTACCAAATCACACATCAAAAAAGTTCCAATGAATTTAGCTGTTTGATTGATTAGTCAGTTTTGTGCTTCATTTATGGGCTTTGGAAGATTTAACCGCCAAGATCATCAAGCAGTCAATCCGTTGTTTGAGAGGGAAGACTTCATTTGAATCTTCGAACTCACATCATTTGCGCACTAGTCTCTCAATTATGTGAATTGGTGTTTTCATTAAAAAAATTCTTCTTTTGATTTCATCACTCAGAGCCTTTTCAGATTACCTGTACATTAACTTCCTACAGCGGCGTAACAGTGGGTGGAAGTTGCCGAAACTCAACTCCGTGACCTTTCACGCAGATGTTTTGGTTTCCATAGCAACGTTGACATCTTGTCTCAACAGAGGGAATTCTATGCGTGCTTGCTCGTATGACTGCACTGACACTTTACCTACGGTAAGTTTATACGTTTGGGAAACACGGAAGAATTTTTGTGGATTTTAATTTCGCATGGTGTTTTCCACATAGTCATTCCAGTGGGTTAGACTGTAAAACAAAGGTGGTAGAAAACTTTGCATCGTATTATTTGAGGAAAAAAACTAGTTGAAAATTTGACTCAATAGAAAACGGGTAAAAGAAATTGACAACGCTATATATTCGTTTTCATAACTCTGCAGCGCAAAGGACGCGCGAACCCACACTGGTAACAAGATGCATGTAATGAGTAATTTCCAAGTAACAGAGTAGTTGTAGGGAAACTATGTTACTATTTAGCTCCAAATTCACTATTTGATTCGTTTGTGTGAATTTGATATCATTTCCAAACAGCGGATAGCAGTTGGTCATTACGTGGTGTACCTCCGTGATTGGATACAAGCTTTCCCACGTGATCAGATATTTGTGCTGCGATTGGAGGACTGGAGCGACAACTGCGAAAAATGGCTTCCAAAGTTGTACAAGTTTTTAGATCAAGGTAATGTCGCGAGTGTATATGTATTCTGTTTTCTTGTGTAACTTGTGTGGAAATTTTAAGTGTTGGTAAACACAGTCTTTCAGTGACTGTACGCTTTATTTTTATATTGAGGTTGGTTCGTTCTGCGCGAACGTAGGCCTACCGGTAAGTCCACAGAGCCTTCCCTGCAAAATGTGCTGTTGATAAAGAAAGCGTGATGAATTCACCGATCCCAAGTAATACGGGCGATTCACAATAGTGCGCCTCCAAGAGTTTTCAACGCGTTGGCCAATCACGATCGCGAAATCTGTCGACCCTTTAATCCAAACGCGCATTGGGTGATTGGCTAACGCGTTGCAAACTTTTGGTGGCGCACTATTGTGAATCGCCCGTATTAGATCATGTGGCTCATCAACTCATGCCAATTTGCGCCGAAATGCTTCCCATGTTAGTGGACGTCTCAGTGGATGAGATGCAAAATCTACACTTGCTCCCCCCCCATGTCCCCATAGGAAAGAGACATCGATTTTGTGGTGTTTCTTCAACCGTTTGTGATGATTTTTCACCACCATTTCTCTGCCAGTTTGTGCTTTGTCCATATAGAAAAAAATACAACATCGATGGCCATGACGTCACAAATTGGCGTTCATAGTCCCTTTAACCCATTATAACACGCACTTATTTTGCTTTCCCCCCCCCTCTTTAATATCACGGAACCTCAGAAAAACTTAGTGACGACACCATCAGCCAAATTTGCAAGAAGAAGACGAAAAACTCTCCCCGCTACAGTCGGGGGTTCAGAGGGGAGTTACAGAACAACACCAGGGAAATCCTGGACGCTTGGTACGGCCCACTCAACAAGGAACTGGACAAATTTCTACGCGATAATAATCTGTAGATCTTGGGACGCGGGAACGGAAGTTCATAGTGTCTTCGCAAATGCGAACATGAGTATGACGTTTGAAGTATAGTGGCTGAAAAAAAAGTCGCCGAAGTTGAAATATGTTAAAATGTTGCGAATTCGCTATGCAAATAGCCATACGTTGCAAATTCGTGTTTTCATTGGCCTTTTGGGCTTCTAGATGTTACGAGAACTTTAGACAGGAGGGGAGGCAGTCAGCAGAAGGTAGAAGCTTTAGGCATGGTGTTGCCCAAAAGGCTTTATCATGGTCCTTCTAATGTCGATCTTATTTAGGAACGACCTTTTTTAAGATCTCGAATGTAACAGCAAACTTTTGCAGTGTTTCTTTAAAATTTTGCCCATGCACAGTCTCAGTATACATGTATTTTTCCCGATTTTGTCTGAACAAAGAGATAAAAAATAATCGAATAAAAATGAAACAACAAATATCTTTCAAAATTGTGCCAGGAGGATCTGCCTTGTGTGGATCCGTATATTGAGAGATTAGAATAATAACAACCAAAATATAATATCCTGCGAGGATTATAATTTGTACATAAGTATCAATGTAATAATGTTACCGTATGATTCCACGGCCACCTGTCCGCAGTAAACGGACATACGAAAATCTGATTCCTGGATCCCCTGCTGGATGTGCCTTCCGCAGGAAACAAAGAGATCTTTTGCCAATCCCGATTGATTAAGCTTGTGCGTTACAGCCTGCCGCCGTTTGGGAGACAAAAGAGTGCTATTAACGATTATTTTTATGTCTGAACTCTCCACACGGTTTTTGTGACTACTAGTTTTGTAGCTTGTGATGTGTTTAATAAAGTTTTTTATTTTGTTTTGAAAAGATACAAGTACTACAATTACGTGAGCTTGAACACGTGGAATGGTATTGAAATTACATGTATAAATAAAAATAGTAATAAAAAGTGTGATGAATCGATGTCAGAGTTGAATGATTGAGCCGGTTGTGCTCCTAGATTTGTTTTACTCCATAATAAACTTGACACAATGAAACAGCTCAAAATCCTCCTTCTTTTGACAGCTTTAACAAACATGATTACCAACCCGAATACCAGGGAAAGATCATTTAGGTGCGCCAGTGTGAAACAAGGAGGGTGACAGGAGACACGCCCTTCAATTGTACTCTACTTTAATCTGGAGGTAGAGAAGACCCATCGAGTGTTTCCTGAGAGTTACAAGTGTCCCCCTCGAAATTAGATCATAGTTATCATACTTGTCAACAATGTCAGAGTGTCTGAACCAAACTGTACGACACACAAGACACAAGTGGCGTAAGTACGGTGTGCTTGCCCTACATACCTACAATGAGGACTCCAAAGAAGCGAAGTTAACGTAACTCAGGGTTGGAGGACGTTGTGTGCGCTCACAAAAGTCCACACAGTGTCTCTGCCTTATTAAATGAAGAGGGCTACTGTATAACTAGGAGAGCGAAGGATTGTCCACACACATAGCGTTATGTAAACGACATGGGTGCCCCCTGCTCCCAAATTTTGAAAGAACTACCTACATGACATTGTACCAGTCGCAAGTCACTTGCTTAATTTTCAGCCCCCCCCCATCCCATTGTGCGCACTCTTGGAGCCTCCAGGAGTTTCACTCTACCGCCACAGTACACTCAGCGCCGTTTGGAATATTAAATCGATCGAAATAATTATCAAAGTTTAAAGCGCTTGCAAGTTTGCAGACTGAAAAGAAATACGTGCGTAATGCTTTTCCACATTATGATGTCATAACATGCTAAACGAAAAGGAGCGCCGGGTGCAGCGAGCGGGGGTCAAGTGATATGTTTCCTCGGGCATTGCTGGATTTCTTCAGCATCCTTTGGGGCATTTTAGGAGCCAATTTCAAATAATGTTCTTTTTTTCACCAATTACGGTGTATCATAGCAACGTTAATCAGTATATCGACTGGACATTCAATCCGTACCTGAAAGGAAGAGGATTTTGAAAAAGCCTGTCCTGCTCAACCCGGACGGCGTTTTACTCCTTTCATAAAACTGACGCGGCAATGTCAGGTAACACTGCCTTCACTTTGGAACTTGGGTAAGTCAAAACTTCAAAGGTCGGGATACTAGAATACCTAATGGTTTTTTTTTTTAGTATTCACCGCCGAAAGGTCAGTGATGGCCGCACTTCACAATTCGTGCGTTGGACCTACCCAAGAGCTTAGATTTAAAAGATTAGTGCCGACATCGCTACAGAGCCACCGCTGATCCAGCTCTTCTGTTGTCCACGCCCGGCAGGCAGCGCCTTCTTAATCCATGCGTCATTCCGATTGACCAATCACAGCCCAGGAGTAGGACTGCCGCGCTTACCTACAAGGAAAACCAACCAATGTAAGCACTCAAGATCCAGACGTGTGACAGATCAAAAATGGGACCGCGGAGATAAGCATGGGGGGGGGGAACAATACTGCCTCACGCCTGCATGAGAATCACAGAAGCTATCATTCCATTTTTGTACTCAGTTCGACAAGGACGTGACAGCACATAGCTCCACGGGATTGCCTTATTCTAGGGAGAATCTGTCGTGTTTTTTTGCAGTCAGAATTTTATTCCAGAACCACCCTCACCATGAAATCCACGATTAATGAGATATTCCATGGGTTCAAACCTGTTGAGGGCAACAACCAAGCATTTGATGAACAGGATGGTAAGTACGGTGTACGTTTTAATTTGACCATAAAGCCGCCAGTAATTGTCTTATCAAAGCACGATGCAAATTAGAACACGGAATAAAGAACTGAACAATAAGACAAGCTAAGAAAACTGCTGTAGAATCTTATCCCTAATGTTTCACCAAGGACAGGTCCAGAACAACATTGTCGGGGCGCGAAACCGGTTTTCAGGAGGCCCCCAAATTTGATTTTTTTTTCCAAGTGACTTTTATGGCCTGTTTGATAAGTGAGGCTACGTTTTAAGACTTTTAATACACTGTTTGAATGAAGGGAAACGAACTGGACCCAAACATTCACCTTTCTCATTATTTTTTAAAAAGAATTTGGGGTTCCTTTTTGGGGTGGGGACCATGGTCTCTATTGCCCCCTTTCCGATCCACCTTTGTGTACCACAACTCTGGACTTTTAAAGTCAGAGGCCACTCTCCACAGTCGAACCCAGAACCAAGTTTTGGAGCCATTTTTGAGGGCCCAAAGGTCGGACATTCTTGATGTACCCTTTTCTAGCTTAGGGATAAGGCAAAACTTTGGGGCTTTTTACACGCTTTTTGAAGGTGGGGGGAGTCTCCATTAATTTTTGATGATGGATTCGCCAATATGCAATGTCACCATCAACCACAATGTGCTATTCTGTTACGCCCCGTTCTTCTCTTTCAGGAGTTGACTTCAGCTCATCTGGTCTGTCAGCCGAGTCGGGCCTTGGCTCTACCTCCCCAGTCACTGGCGAGCTCTCCCCCTGTACATCACCGTTCCCCTTCACGCCAGAGCAGGAATCAGACTTGGGAGCCGTCTACGCCGCAAATCCATTCCTTGATTTCAGGGGTAGAGACATCCTGGCGGATGCACTGAACGTAACAGAGGAGGACGTACATGTAAGTTGATTCTTGATTTTCTTTTCCAACTTGGCTTTTTTTATTTGCTAGTTTCCTTTTCCTTATGTCATGAATTCAATTTTGGGAAAACCGACTACATGTACGGATGACTGAAATTTGTAGACCTATCTAATGAAGTTAATAATTGTTCCTATAATATGCACCCAAATCTTGAAGGAATACATGTAAAGTGCATCTAGGATGACAAGCTCTCGTTTTGCTTTGCAACAGGCTTGGTTTATCCAGCGACGCTACATCGATAGCTACCTCCAACAAAGATCTTCTACGCCACACCAACTCTTCCAGACTTCGACCTCCGCACGACCTGTGTCATTCGAGATGCCCTCATCAACGACCATCAGCCCAACTGCCTTGACCTTTGCTGCGTGCGTCGGATGTCATCTACCGTGTCTACTGTCGGCCACAGTCACGGCCACATACACCCATGCGCCTATGACCCGCCAAGGACCGCGGCATTCAGCGACTGGGTCCGGAGACAGCGTCAGTGTGACAACGACAACGTGCCACAGAGCCCCGGTTGTCATTTGTCGGTATGCGGCATCACTGTCCATGCTCTCCAGAAACACGTGTCGCCACCGGCCTGTAGGCTCGGTTTGTCTCAGAAGAGTGTCTCGTCTCTCTGGCTTTGCTGTTAGCCAATTAAGCAAATAGCCATAAACTTACCTTTCGTCATCCACCATTTTATTAGAGGATCCATGAAAAGAATTTTCTTATTATCACTTTTTTGTGTGTCTCTGTACTCTTCTTAAATGTATGAAGACTGTTTGACATTTTTTTTTGGAATTACGTAAACTACAAAGCGCACTTTTAAATATTACAAATTGACCAAGCATTTCTGGACGAGTGAGGACGCTTTTCTTTTGATGTAACTCCAGGAAGACATGGTTCAGTTTGCATGTTTTCATGTTCAAATTGTGGACTCCAAATTTGCTATCTGAAAACACTTCCGTGAAAAGGTTGCTCGCTTATTGCCATATACTTACACAACAATAAATTACCAAAGGAAATGAAACCTACGATAGCAGTGTTGACAAAATCTAGAAGTTTTCTGTACACAAATCAGTGCAACATTGAGGCTTGGTGGCTTAGATGACATAGTTTTGCTCATGAATATGCAAATTTCATAGCATAAAAACCAAAACAGCTCCAAAATATGGGTTAAAATTGCAAAACAAAATTTTTAAATCAGGTAAATTGAAACCTGGAGGTGTAATTTCAAGGGTTTTAGTGCAATTTAGCAAAATACTTCTATCTTATGGTCCCCCGCATACCATAGAGTCATATACCACACGCAGTTTGTTATTGCACATTGGTTACGTTCAGTCTGAAATCCTTATCCCGAAAGATGCGGAGGAAAACTCTAGTTGTTGCTTTCGGAAACGAAATTTCCGGTATTTTTTCCATTATTTCTTTGCTTGTCCTCCAAGTTGCCGCCTGTGCCATGGTGCCACCTTGCGATTTTTTTTTTTAGAAAAAGTTCATTTATCAGTTCATCTTGTTCAAATAAACTGGCTCAACATCACTGTTGGAGGCATACCTTCTTTCTGTTTCGTTATTACTGGTCTGTTTTCTCACAAAAAGTCCTCCTTTAATGATGTTTGTTTCACCTCTAGTTTCAACATCATGGTGCTCTCATAGACATAAAACTGTACATGTTTATGTAAAGAAAGGCAATATTTAAAAAAATGGGGCAAACTGTTACTATTCCCCAATAGTTATTTTATTTGGTTCATTGCTCGTGACTATGAAAACGCAGGTCGAGCAAACTATGGCATATACTCATGCCCGTTGCCTTAACAGGGTGCTAGGGAAAATACATGTAATCCTTTCCAAAACCCTTTAAAAGAAATCGCTATGTGGGAGTTGTCGGGTGCAGTCTACTAATTCAAGTGAGAAATTCTGGCAAGCTCATTAGCATTAATGGCCCCTGCATTTTTTTTTATTGTTGGCCCCCAAAATTGTGAGAGTGTGCAAATCCTTGCCAGGATCAACTCCCAGGGACTTTGGGCTTTCGTCTAAGAGCAGAATGGCTAAAAATGCAGTTGCAAATGGTCACACCTGAAAAATGGCTGCAAGCAAATTCGGGGGAAAAAATCACTTTTCGAGGAGTTATTTTGTTTTGTGGGAATAACTAATGTAACCGGTTAACCCACCGAAAATTGAAAAGAAATTGATAGATTAGGGACCAGACAATAATTTAATTTGTGTTCCAGAAACCTCAGGGATCGATGTTGGTATGCATGTTATTGGGCCCTGAACTGCGCTGATTTTACACTGTTTTCAGTGGGGCTTGAATTAGTGGACTAAATCCTGCTGCCTAATAAACGCAAGCAAGCCTGGTACATTTAGTACACACGTGTCTCGCACGAGGGGGAAGTTTTGAACCTCACCGTTGTTCAAAATGAGGCTCCAATACGTGTTCGACAAAAATTATGGATTTACCCTTCCCAATGACCTGTGGGGGGTGGAGGTTGGGGAAGAGCAAAACCGTTGCAAACTTGTACGAATTTGAACAGGAATGTGTTGAGGCAGTTATAGCCGAGCACTGAAAGCAGAAACAATAAGTGTTCGACAAAAATTATGCATTTTCCCTTTCCAACGCCCTTAAAGGGGGGGGGTATGTCTATGGCCTCATATAACAGACACAGCACCTTGGATTACTTTCTGTGGCGATGAGTGGAGTTGGCTGGAGTGACAGCGAATGGCGCCCTCTACAACCCCTTGCCCTTATGTAACTAATTCACCCTCAACCCATGGCAAGGCCCATGTGCTCATTGTGAATGAAATGGCGTGATGTTTTGATGTTCAACTTGCAGAAGTCCTTTAGGTAAATCACAAATAGCGTCCAATTGGGTATCGAGTTAAAACACGAAACGCTAAATTCAGGATCAAAAACATAAAGTCACCGGTGATTTAATTTCAGTTAAGATACAAAATCTCAAAGATAGTATCAATTTCAAACATAAATAGCACCGCGAAGCGTCACAGGACTGGACGAAGTTTAACATTATCGTCTTTCACCCGGTGAGGGCAGACAGATTGCTAGAAACAGAAGTCCGAAGATAATTCTATGTTCGTTATGTTTTGAACATTTTGTTGTGTTTCATATTAATCCCACCGTTACTCTGTAGTGCCATGGCTTCCAAAGAACGCACTAAGGTGATTTTGGGGCATCTCAAGCCAACAATCAGCAGCGAGGAGGCTGCCTCGACGCGAACGGGGGATTTTGTATGCCGGGGATACAGTACCGGTAGCGTGGCTGTCGAGGCGAGTGGTACCGTCCAAAGAGACGAGGAGACGGTATGTAGTCGGCCTAGAACCGTTGATCGTGTTGATATCTTGGTAGTAGTTGCGTCACGTGTGGTAGGGCCTATTACATTTTTTAGACTGGGGCATAAGTCAAGCATACTTTGATTAGTATTACTGTTTACCATCAAGTTTTGTCCGGTGCAAGGCCTATGCCATTGACCGTTGACATGTTTGAGTTAAATTGAGAAAGAATCAACACTTTCAATACCCCCAGAAACAGAACCGTGGCCCAGTGTGGGGCTCGTCGTCCGCCGCGCTCCCACAGTGTCGGGGGTACGGGGTCGAAACGTCAGCCCTCCAACTTTTTGATTAGTATTTTAGGTCACTATAGCCAGCAAGCAGTTTGCAGCAGTCATTGTATACAGTATGTATGTTTCAAAATGAGAGATTGAAAATGACAGTGAATATTTGACCATTAAACAGTAGGCCTACCGATTGTTTTTTTGCCAGCACAGCAAGTGAACATGCACTTTGAGTGAGTGTTTAATTGCCATGCACATAACTTTTCAGAAATAAATGTGCATCAGTCCATGGAGACTGTATATTCCTACTCATAGGATCAATCTAAATTTATGTTTGCATCGTTTGCACTATTCGCTCTTTGGACGCTACCGCCATAGGCATGCAGAGCCTCAGTCTGGCAGATAAATATGACCGGTTCAGTGATTCCTATGTACATGTATGTTGCTAATTTTTCATGTGCTGCATCAGCTCTGGTACCATGCAATTGGACAAAGCAATTCTGATGTGATTGTACAAACTGCCAGTTCGAGGCTCTGTATGCCTATGGCGTCAGCGTGCAAAGCGTGAGTAGCAGCCTGATTTTATTGTCTTTTGCTTTATAGAGAGAACAGGGTTCTGAGAGAAAGAATTCCCCGTTTCTGACCGTCAGTCCCTATTAACTTGATTCGAACTCATTGAAAGTATGGGCAAACCAAAGTTTCAAGACATTTCAAGTTTTTAGCATGTAGATGTAGCAGTGTCTAAGCAACCTGTTGATAATTGTTAACATGCCTCTAAACTTCCAGTACATGTCGTTTCATGTTGGACCTTTTTCAGGATACAAGGAGACCCATACAGTTGCATGACTGTGCTGCCACCTCGGCACCACCTGACAAAACTCCCAGGATTCCCAAAGTCAGGTATCATTCACCTCATGCACATTTAAAGTAACTGGGCCTTTTCCATTTTAAATATTTCAATGTCAGAGAGGTGAAAATTCCGGTAGGTGTCTTGGAGCTAATCATCATCATAAATCTCTTGTCAGAACAATACTTGGTAATGTACCTTCTGTGTCATGAGAACAGCGGTGTAGTGAGCGGGGGTGTGGAGGGGTGTTGCACCCCCCCAATAATTCTTTTCAGTCGGTAAATAAAGGGTCAGTCATCAAATGAACTGCAGTTGACGTCATGAAGTATCGATGTACATCGACCAGTCGGTAAATCGATCCCTGGCACCCCCCCCAAAGAAAATGCCTTCGCTATGCCGCTGCATGAGAAACAAGCTAAGTTCCGTCCCCAAACTGTGAGCCTCTTCTTATATATATATATATAAGTATATCATTCACCTCATGCATATTTAAAGTAATATGAGGAGAAACTGTCAGAAAAACTTCTTGAGAGATAACTTTACAGGATGTTTATGCACATGAGGTATAATGAAACAAGTGCCAAATCTTTTTGAGGGGGGTGGGTGGATAAAAATTACCGGTCTTCTGATATGTAGTTATTTCGATTCTAATCTTAGTGTTAGAATCATCCAACACCACGGTTGAAGTAATATTCCACCACTTAATAATGCGCTAGTTATGTACTAGTAGGGCAATAGTCTGAATGACTAATGTGTTCTTAGTACTTCTTTTTTCAAGACATTAAGGCTGCATGAAGTACAGATTCTTTAAGTGTCAATTAACTTTGAAGAAAAGTGGTCAAAATGTTCTAAGCACATGTAGGCACTTGATTTGGGGTTTGATATGCGTCACTCATTATAGTACGTTGCTAGTGTGGGTGCACCTGTATTCCTTAAGTGCCAGTTAACATTTCAAGACACAATAACAGAAATGTTCCAATCAGGTTGGGTGAGTTGGGATTTGATACGTGTCACTCATTATAGTACGTCATTAGTGTGGGGGCATCTGTATTCCTTAAGTGCCAGTTACATGTATGTGTTTGAAGAAACAATAGCAGAAATGTCTCAAGCACGTTGGGTGATTGCAGGTTTGAATATGTCACTTGTGACAGTATACATGTCTACATGTACTTGAAGCAGTATTGATTGCATGGTTTCAGTTGCAAGCTTACATGTACATTATGCAATATAAACTGAGGAATTAATTATCAATTGATTAAAGAAGTTGTGTAGTTGTTTAATATTTATTTATAATGAGCATTGCTTTGGTGACTAACTTTTGATTTCTTTGTTTCAGACAAGATGTGTTGAAATGGAATGGTTGGGGCTACAGAGACTCCAAATTTGTGATTGATGACAAAGAGAATATCTCATTCAGTGGGAGCAGGTAACTTAATCTTATATTCGTTATTCTGCTTTGAAACTTTTGCCTCAGTTGTTAGATCTTCTTAGTTTTCCAAACAGGAAATTTATCCAGGTATGATTGGTTTTAGAGAAAAAAATCCCAGATAAATGTTTCAGTCCCAGCAGCCCCCAAGATTTATTCCAGCTTTGACCATCTCCATTGCCCCATTTTTATTAATGGACCCATTGCTAAAATTTTCATATTGACAAAGGTCATGTCATTCTGTTCTTAATAAGTGTGTCCGTTGCTGTCTTGTTTTCAGGTATAACATTGCAGGTGAACTGCCTCACTTCAGAGCGTGGATTGACACAATTGAGGGGTTCAACATAGAGAACAGAAGCCTGTCACAGGTATTTGTATGGATTGGATAGAGTCTTTCAAACAGTTGGCTTTTTGATGGGTCTTGTCACCCAGGATTTTGTATGATTTAGCCCATATAATGCCTTTCCCGTTCTTGCAGGTACTGCGTCTGTCTAGATCTGTGACCTTCTATATAGAGTACCAAAGTGACTAAGTCACTCACATAATTGTGTGTAAAAGGCATTAGAGTGAGAATCAGCCCGCAAACCAACATGCGCCGTTTGTTTGCACTACACAGTCTGGTTCACAGTGATGTCACACTTCGGTACTCTATATTGGTTGGCCTACAGCAAAGGCTTCAAGTTTTGACATTGCCATAGTATAGTAGAATGTCTGTGTGTACAAAATGGCCAATTTAGAAGGAGCCTAGAGTGACATTTGTGACCCATCCTAACAAATTGAGTCACAGGAACCACGTTTAGTGAAAGGCCCTTTAAAAGAACCTTGCACTGTGTCAATTAATTAGATCCCTCAACATTTTTCACCCATGTAATGTCCATTTCGCATCTAGATGCCAACTGAGTGGTCAAAAGAAAAGAGCCCTGTTTGCTCATTTCATCCTTATGTAAACTAAAGCCCAATTGCTCCTTAAAAATAATTTTTGTAGATCTGGTTTCGTTGGTTAGCTATTGGTTAGGGTTCTAGCTCTTGCTGTATCTTTTGGGTTTCAATCTGAAAGGTATGTGCACTGCACTGAGTTTTCCCAGTTGGTAGTGGGCCAAACAATTTTCATCTTTCAGCAGAAACTCCATTTTTGAAGTGCAGGTCTGTTATCAAAGCGAGCCCCATGCGTGAACTCAAGTGATACATGTACCAAACATTGGCAATTCAATATAGTTACTATAATTCTATAGTAACCTTTTTCAAAGCTCAAGAATGAGAGTTTCAACTGAGAGATCGGCAGCATTTCTTTGAAACAAAGAAGGATCTGAGTCTATCAGATTTGTCTGTTGATGCAAGCATATTTGCCATCATCACTAACAATACATTATAAATAAGTTTATTTTTTGTGTTCTTGACCCAAATTTGTCACAAATATGGCTGAAGTCTTGTCTTTATGTTTTCTCTGGTGCCATTTCTTTATTCTTTTCAGTTGTTCCAATAATTTGTTACAGTTATGTAAAATTTTGAAACTGAAAATTGACAGTGCCAGTGTGTGCTTGGATGTAACAGTCCGATGACCAAAGGTCAACTTGTTTCACCTAGCACTGATCCAAAGCTAATTGTTTGTCAGATTACAAGCTTTGTAAGTAAAGCTAAATACTGTACATGCATACTGCTGTATGGCATGTAGACATTAGACAATGGGTTGGACAGTGCCAACTCTTTTGACAGTTTCTGAGGTCACACTGTTCTCTGATAATCAAGATAAAAATCTTTCATTGAGCAATGCTGACTGCTTTTTATCAAACAGGGTTGATGCACTTTTGAATAGTTGTAAAAGAAATACAACTGACAAGAAAACTGTTCAATGAAAATTCATTATCAAATTGACCAAAACGAAGTCATAAGAATCCGAAGAAGGTTACTGAGACATGTTGAAACTGTAGTGTAGACATCTTTTTTATTAATAGTCAGTAATGTCATTTGCAACATTTTGCCATTTCCAACAGCATGTCTCAAATCTCAGATTTCAGTTATTTTACTGATCGATGGAAAAATTCTCTTTAGAACTCACACATGTACATGAAAAAAAAAAAAAAATTGGCGTTACAAAATCATGTTAGCCAGAAGGTTAAGTAATCCAGAATGAGAAACTGCGTAACAAAGGCCATTACATACCAGATGGTTTTTAATCCGGTTTAATTCTTTAATCTGTGATATCTGAGGTCAGTTTTTATATGTCATTGTTTCACATTATGTATCTCTATTTCATAACATTTGGATTTAAATACTCTGGGGTTCACCCTCACTAAAAACAAAAATAATATCTTGAGTTTTTGTTTAAAAGTATACACATTTTCAAAGATGCTATTCACCTGCGAGGTTTTTAACTCTGGGAAACATTTAGATGCATGCTCATTGCAATACTGATTTGTGTTAATGCCCATCAGGAGCCATTGTCGTAGAAATTTATTTACAGGTTCATTGATTTGTTGTGCATTTGCCTACAAACATTCTCAGCAAAATGAGTGGAGTCTGTGTGTGGGATGAAAAATGGGCAGTGAGAGTTAAGAAAAAACAAGAGATCTGAGAAAAGTGAGGGTTCGGCCAAAAATGTCATGCAGTGCTGTATTGCTTGTGATTGGCTCTCTGACTTGTGTTTCTTATTTTTAACAAAGCAACTTCAAGCCACATAAATTTGCTTTAAGCAACATTTTCTTGCCAGAAATTCCTTGAAATTGGGCCAAGTCTTTACATATTTACTCATTTTATAGAACCAGTGTACAATTTTCATTGAATCTTCAGGATGAGATTCGGCCAGAAAGGTTGCCGAGTGTCACACGCAATGAGGATTTCTTGGAAGACATCCAGAAAGAGGGAATCTCTTTCTCTTTTGACACCCAAGACAGACTTTTCCGGGCTCATGGTGCGTGTAGTTTCTAAAGAAATTTTAAGATGCAGGCTGTTTCCATCATTTCCAGCTTCTGACTTTTCCCGACTGAAGTCTTTTGTTGTTGATAGTTTAGCACATTTTCTTTCAAGCTGCTGTTACCAGTGGTCGTTTTTTATTTGATGGGTCTTGATGATTTTGTTCAACAAAATTTCCCAGCTGCCTGACAAAAAAGGCTTCCGGCCTCACTTTGACAGATATTTAGAAGCCACAAGGAAAATTTATAGGCCAAGCAAACATTAAGTAGCAACTACAAAGTGCAAAAGTGAATGGCATTTTAGCAGTTTGGCCATTTTTGCTGAGTTACAATGTCTTGTGTTGAGGGTATGAATCCCCTATCAGTTAAGTTGGCACTGTGGTGTTCTTTTATCCTGAGGTGTGAACAAACGTAGGGCTCGATACCTCATGTGCTGTTGTAAAATGGCATGTGTGAAGAGCATCCCTGCACAAAGCAGCAATGACCTTCATATTTTAGCCTTTAAAAAAAGAACAGGAAATGAGAAATTACTAGAAAACTATGAAGTGAACAAAGACGTGGCTACTGTTTCTAATTACCCTCTTTTCAAAATTATTTTCAGGTCATACATTGGATGAAATATTTGCACTCCGTGAGGGAAACTTTGAACGCATTCCAGATATCGTTTTGTGGCCAAGTAAGTTTGTAGGAGCCTTTTCTTTGGAAGTATACATGAACATGCTCATGTATTTACTGGTGTGGATGATACAGATGATGTAGCTTCCCAAGCTGGTGAACTGATCATTTTTTAACACCTCAACCACAGATTCTGTATCTTGATTGGCTGAGAACCAGTCACATTGCATTCACTATTTCGGATATCTGGTTGTGCGTGGTTGAAGAAACTATACCTGTAGCATCCAAAGTATTATATGCATGACCACCGGCACAGCGTACTCATGCAAACTGGTGTGGGTATTATGCACACACTGAAGAGCTGGCACAACAAAGCTTGGTTCAGGTATTTTGTAAAGAGGCTAAATTATTTGGAAAAGTGCTAATAAATTTTCAACAAATTTCTTATTTCAGTGTACATATTTTTATATGTAGTTAGATCAAATTAATCAGTTATTGCTTAAATCAAGCAAAATCTGCAAGAGATACTTTATTAAAAAACTATCGAATGCTTTATCTGGTGTTATAGTATAACTAATCTCCCTCAAAGATTCATGGAGCATTCCATTTTCCCTCAGCTTTGCCTCAGGAAAATAAACTCCTCCGTGGATCACCTCGAGAGGCTAGGTTTACTGTACACCACTTGAAGCAATCAGTATTATTTGTATAATAGTTTTCCAGGTAAAGATGAAAAAAGAGGACTGCTCACTCCTCAGATCACCAAGAATGCTAGTGTGACTATGTCATAATAGAGAGCAATCATTGTGTTTTGTGACCCCAATAAATTCTGGGCCAATCAAGAGACAGAATCTTAAAAATGGAAGTTTCATTGCTCTCTCAGTACATTAGAGCGGAGTTGATAACAGTGTTGGAAAAAAATCCTTACTTTCTGTTGCTGTATTTTACTGCTGGATAATCTCTGAATTATGTTTGTGTGATAAGGTGGTGACTTTTCATTGTTTGAAATAATGACACAAGTTTTCCAAAAAGTTATCAAATTGTGCATCTTTCTGACCATAGTACCTTTTACGTCTTTTGTGACTTGTTGTTTAGGATGCTCCACGCACCATAATATTTTGAGAGGAGTACAGAAGTTCTGATAAAATTCCCTCTTTTCATTTTTTTTGCAGCATCTCATGACCATGTTTGTAAGATTGTACAGCTGGCTTGCAAGCACAATGTTTGTATCATTCCATTTGGAGGTAAGTTAAGTGGTTGGGTTGACTGTTACCCATGATGCATCGCTGGCAATGGAGTCTTTGAATCAATCTAAGGCTGGACCTGTACCTTTCAGAGACAGTCTAATAGTTGGTTGGAGCAGTGTAGATTAACAGAAAACTTCACTCACTGGAGGTTGCACCTAACACAGTGTCTGTTTGTATACAGGTGGAACCAGTGTGACCAAATCATTACAATGCCCTGCGGAGGAAAAGCGAATGATTGTTTCACTGGATATGTCACAAATGGTGAGTAAAACATTGATTTGGGGGGGTCTATAATATTTGTATGCTGTGTTCCAGTTAGTGGCGTTTTCTCTTCTTGTCTTTCTTAGGCAAATATTTCTTTCTAAAATTTACATTGTGTTAAATTTTAGAACCGTATTTTGTGGGTGGATGAGAAGAATCTGACAGCTCACATAGAGGCAGGAATTATGGGAATGGATCTTGAAAGAGAGGTAAGAAATGTAGACTGGAAGGCTAGTCATATGCATACATATGAGGGCTTGCAGCACCAAAGCGTCAGATGTGTCGTCGGTTTCTGTCCCCTGTGATTATTTTGCATTCTGTGACATCTACTTGGCCTTGTTCATTATTAAATATATTGTTGACCTTACATTGCCAGTAGCAGTCTATTGGACAAAGATGTGTTGGCTGTTTGGTGACATTGTACATATCTATGGGACATAACAAAGCAGTTTTTGAATTACATGCATGAATGCTTGGGCTTATGTCAGTACCCTTTGTAATTTGTGAGTTTGGAGTCGCTCGATGACAGCAAACCAAGTTATTCTTTATGTCATGCTTGACGTCCAGACATGGTAAACAAGAAAAAACAAGGACAATTATGTTTGCCGCTGCCCAGCATCTCAAAATTCTCCCATTAATTTATGTGTGGGGAGATTTTTGATCGAAAACTCCAGAATAAAACATCCATTCCTGTACTCTCTTTGAAGCTTTTTTGGTCGTACAGTTTTGCAGTTGTTAATGATGCATGTTCTTATCACAGATGTAATATTAATTCAGCTTGGCTTCAGGGATGTCAATTTTATACCAGGTTTTGCCCCTGCACCTTCATTTATATTCACACTGTACTCTCAGTATGGTCCCAGGATTGCAAAACAAAAATCACAAGCTTGCTCAGGTGGGATTCGAACCCATGACATCTTGCTCACTAGTTTACTTGGATCTAGTGGCAGCAGCAGGTCCCAAAATGACTACTTAATCATTGATTAATGAAAAGTTTGAATTAAAGAAGGAATAATGAGCTCTGCTGATTAGACAGTTAATGAGTACAAGGTATTTACATGTAGACTTATCTTCTCATTTGTACAGCTTGGTAAGTATGGTCTGTGCACAGGTCATGAACCAGACTCGATGGAGTTCAGCTCCCTTGGTGGTTGGGTGGCTACTAGAGCTTCTGGAATGAAGAAGAACGTCTACGGCAACATTGAGGATCTGGTAAGGCCAACAGTTGTTAAAAAGATATCTCCTCATAATCTTTATTTGATTTATTTCATTTCAAGACTATAGTGTAAAAATGGCAAAGGAAAATGGCTTGAAGGATTTGAGCCAGGCATCCTACCAAGTGAGCTATCCATCCCAGTGTTGGTGGTTGGTTCCTCCCAAATTGCCAGTTTTTTACTTCTGACTGGCATTCCTAAATTGAGCTGTTGATAGTTGTGGAGGATCCACAAATATAAAGCTGGATAGCTCTGGGGGTAGGGTACCAGTATGGTGTAATGGACATCAGAGAATGAAATCCCACTGCAGTTAATTTCTTTGCTCCTCTTAATAATTTGTAATTTGTCAATTTACCTGTTTGATTTCTTTGATTATTGAAATTTCATTTGATATCATGTTGCTGAAGAACTCTGTTCCCATATTTTGGAAATGCAAGAGAAACATATTATACTCTTTTTTTCAGCTGGTGCATGTTAAAATGGTCTCGCCAAGAGGTGTACTTGAAAAGAATTGTCAGGTAAGAGTACTGTTCTTTATCTGGGTTGATCCATTTTTTTCATCTGGTTATGACGACGTGTCATACATGTGTATGTATAAAACTTGAAATGTTTCTGTCTCATTCAGTCTTTGATTAAAAAATTGGACAATTATGTCAGTCTGTGCTTCAGAAGGCAGTTATGTCTCTCTATTTCTGCAGTTTTTGTACCATCCTGCCACATGAAGGTAGAAAAGGAAAGGTGAAACATTACAGCAGTTGACAAAAAAGTTTTTTAGTTTAAAAAAACGTCCGAATAGCGTATGTAGGTCATTCTGTAAATTCAGGGTCCAAAAGTGGGACATATTTGTGTCCCTGTTACACCTGGCTGGTGTAATTTGACGTGGAAATATCACTGACACTGATTTCAAACTATTTCTATTTGTTTGGCAGGTAATTTGCATTATTTCATCACTCTTGGAAATTACAGATTTTGTTCTGAACTTACAAAATCATGTCAGATGTGACAGGGACATGAAAACATTGGACCCCTGATTTATAGAATGGCCCATGTACCAGTACATAGTCAAGAATCGTGCATGCATTTGTAAGATTTAGGTCCATTTGGTTTAGATGTATGGGTATTTACATGCATGTATACTGTCTGCTGGGAACATCAATATACTGAATCATGGGCGGAACTCTCCCCTCGATCGTTGGGGGACATCAATTTTCCCCCTTTTTGTGCACAACGCGTGTTTATTATCTTATTCCATGTATAAAAACTCAAAAGGGAAAATCTGTCAATTCCCTTAGTATTTTGTTTTGCGTAAAACATGGAGGGGACATTCAACATTGAATCTCCCCATACCAAACTCATGGGGGGGGACGTGTCCCACCCATGTACTGAATGGCTAGCACCTTGACTCTAAAAGAGCCAGGGATGGGCAAATCTATTTCACTCAACATTTTTTACAATATCGCTGCAGTGCATTTTTTTCACTTACGGAGCCATAAGGAGTTTTTTAGCAACTTCGCATTAGTACCAATATGTGTCAAAACGATTTGGAATGTGACCACCAAGTTCTGTAGGGCAGTGGAGTCTTCCCTCTCCTCGCCCAGTTTTGAGATGGTCCAAAATAACCTGGCTCTTTGAGGGTTAATATAACAAATAAAGTTTAAGAGCTCTAGGTGTAAGCTTTTTGTAGCTACGGCTAAAAAGGCATTGCATGGACTTATGAAAACAACAAGAGGTCCACATAGTGCAGGCAGTGAAAACCTGGTATGCTCACATGGAATGAGTCAGAATTTATGTTGAGTGCATGGTCATGCTTGCAACAGGGTTAGTGTTTTGTAAGACTGTTTGGAAATTGTTGATTGTTTTGGAGAAAGTACCCTGACTTTTACACGTTTTGTTGGCTAGGTGCCAAGGATGTCAACTGGCCCAGACATCCATCATTTTATCCTGGGGTCTGAGGGCACGCTGGGTGTTGTGACAGAGGTCACACTGAGGGTGCGCCCCATCCCACAAGTCCGGCGGTATGGTTCAGTGGTCTTCCCCACATTTCACCAAGGAGTTGACTTCATGAGGGAAGTGGCCAGGCAGGTAAAAAAGCCAGCTCAAGATTTTCTTTCACGGACAAATATTCTAACTTGTGTGTGTGTTGGAGGAATACTGAATAGAGCCAGAAGAGACTTGGTTTGGGCCATTCTCAATTCTCTGCTTTGTCTCCACATTAATTTCATTTCAGGTTTCAGAATCATTTTCAAATGTCTACATGTACCATTATTCAAATCAAATGAAAATGCTCTAAACTTTCTCACTTCACATGCTCGGATTCATCTGTGGTACTTTGTTAAGCTAAAGGGTAATATGTTAGGTCACGGTTGAAACTGGGACCAGAGACAAAGCCAAGGTTCAGAAAGTTTCCTATTTGCACAAGTACCGTCTTTGAAGCCATCCTTTTTTGTTAGTCTTTTTACAAGCATATAATGCATTCTCTTCTCTCTCCCTTCCTAAAAGCATACAGTGATGAAAGTGTGTTTTGTATTTTTCAAGATGAAAAAAAGATGACCACGTTTAGCAATTTGACAGAGAAATGGCAGACATGTGATCAAAGATTTGTGTTCATTCTAGTGAAAATTGGCTGTACCTACATGTATGTTCTTTATGCCATATATGCATAAATCAGGGTGCACATGTGAGTTTGTCCCCATAGCAGTGGTCTGTTCTTTTAGAAGATTTTGAACACCAAATTTAGGTGGTTATATGTACCTGAACATTTTCCTCCATTATGGGATCAACCTCTACCTCAAAAACCTTGTTTCTTTCTTGTGTTGCCTTCGTTTTTCTTATTGTGTCTTTTTTGGTCACCACAGCGATGTGCCCCAGCTTCCATTAGGCTCATGGACAATGAACAGTTCAAGTTCGGTGAGCCTTTCTTTACCTTGTATTCATTTCCTTGGTTTGAAGTTTTAGTTTATGAATGATTATGAACAACAGCGGTGGAACGATTTTCAAAGTTGGGGGGGAGGCCAGTTGTGAGATCATCAGCTATTTATAGGCCGAGCTATGAAGCCTTACCCCATTACAGGACCTGCAGAAAATGAGGGGGGGAGGGCCGTGTCACCAGTGATAAAGAATTATTTGTTATTACCCGGAGAACCCAAAGCTTAATCTGTTTTAAAATGGAATGAGTGCATGCACTGATGCTTTTGTTTTCTTGGCTATGATGACAAAAACTGAGATGTATTCTCAAATGGTTGTATTTCTGCTTCAAAACATCCCAGGGCAAGCTCTGAAGGGTCCAGCAGCATCCATGTGGACATCACTGATGGACAGCTTGAAAAAAGTCTACGTAACCAAGGTGAAGCATGGGAAAGCAGAGTGTAAACCGACTTGATACTGATATCACTTAGGAAAATCCCTTTTATTTGACAAGTATGGGTCTAACATTTTTCTGTAATCAAGGGCAGGGGGGGGCATTTGTTTTTGTAATATCTATTGTCTTCAGAAGTGTAAGGCAAAATTACAGGGTGTTTTACACAGGAAGGGAGGTATTGAAACAATTGTATTACCAAATCTCGATGAACCCTTTAGGACCCTTGATTTTCATACATTGTTAAACTCGGAATGTTGATGGTGTTAGCTGTGTACAGCTGCTGTGGTCATTTTCACTTCTGGCTGCATTTGGCTGCCATGGTGACTAAAGGATCAAAGTGTAATTTCACCATTTGAATTCTTTCTGTCTGTCTTTCACAGCTGAAGAGATTTGATCCAAATATCATGGTTGTAGCCACACTTCTCTTTGAAGGAGCCAAAGAGGTATGGCACTAGTCTTACAAAAACATTGTTTAATACAAAATTAACGAAGAAAATTGTAATCTGATGCTGGCATCTATTGGTCAGTGTTACTCATTTCTGAAATATATTTATTTTTTCTGGGACATCAGTCTAGTCACATTTGGCTATGGGGACTCATAAAAAACTTAGCATGCATGTTGGATCTTTGAAACATCTTCCAAAAAGATATTTTATTGTTTTTCTTGTTTCCAATTTTTTTCATTAAAGGATGTAGCAGCCCAAGAAAAGAAAGTCTACACAATTGCCACGGAATATGGGTAGGCAATCCCTCTTGTAGCTAACTTGAATGAATTCATTTTTGAGCGCTCTGAATTTTATGACCTCTTTGTCGGACCGGGCGGATTGACCTTTACGAATTGTTTTCACGAGCTGTTTCATGTCACTTGCCTTTGACCCTACAGCTGAGATGTCTCATGCCCCGTGAATGTGTATGCAGTATTGATTTCATTGTGGTGTTGAAATATTCACTAGAGAATTTTTGCGTGTTCATTTTTTTAGATGATTAGTTTCTATAACATAATGCTTTGTATTGACAGGGGTCTGGCTGGTGGTGAAGACAATGGGCAGAGGGGCTACAATCTGACGTTTGCCATCGCCTATCTCAGAGTGAGTTGGCCATTCTCACAAGAATCCAAAATTAAGAAGTTTTTGATGAACTGTGTCAATCGGAACTGCAGAAATGGACTCTCTTAAGTTTAATTCTCGTTTTGATCATGTGATATCTGTGCAGAAATGCCCCCTCGTTGGCCAAAAAGTGACAGGCTAGGCTAACACTTGCATGTCACTTTAACTGTACACCTGGCGTACATGCAGAGACCCTTTACATACATTCAGATTGTGGGTACCTGATATCATACATGTGCAAAAAATGTGCACAAACGTAGGCCATTGTTACCAGGTAACACTGCGCCCTCTGTCATTCCTGCCTGGAGTTCGTTGGAAGCAGCAGGGTTTGTAGTGAAAGGGCTTAGGGTGCTTTTGGTCAAATGAGACATATTTTGTAGTTTCTTTTCTGTATCATTTTTAGTTTGCCCCCTCTTTTTACAGGATCTTGGGTTGGATTTTTACATCATTGCCGAGTCATTTGAAACAACCGTGCCTTGGGATCGGTAAGTTCTAGAACGTGTTAGTGCTGTCAGTACTTTAAAAACTCTTCGCCGTCATCAAAAAAAATTATTCAGTTTTGAGAGGTATTTGGTTCATGCAAACAAAAGAAAGGTAGTGATTAGTAATCATTGTCTGCCATTTTTCACAGTGTGATTGATCTTTGCCGCAATGTGAAAGAACGGCTATACAGTGAATGCAAGCGACATGGCATACAGTACCGTCCCTTAGCAACGTGCAGGTAAGTGATACATGTACATACAGTAGTTGGAGGGGAACCAAATGTGCTTCTGTGGACTTTGGTACTAAATTTGGTACTAATGCCAGTCACTTTAATGTAAGGGGGACTGAATTTGAGGTTAACGGAAGATCATCTCCCTGTTTGTTTTGTTTTTATGTTTGAGAATACGGAGTCATTTATGAAAATGATTTGCCTTTTGTCTCAAAGTGAACATTTCAACCATTTTGAACCCTTTTTTGTTTGAACCTTCCTGAATTTTGCAAAGGAACACTATGGCCCATTCTTTGTGCATGATGAGTTACATCTGCTGGTCCTCCATGAATGAGTTTGGAAGAATCTTAGAGGGTTGGGCTCTTGTTTGATGTTTGGTATACTGGTTGCTCACTGCTCAACTGCTATTCCGTGCATAATTTTTTTTCTTCAAAAAGCAATCAAATACGTCAGTACATTCGATCAGATTGATATGTATTTGCAATCAGATTTTTTTCCCCTAGTGTCTTTAAGCATAGTAACCAAACAGGAACTTCTGCATCTATTTTCAACTCCTGCTTCCTCTGTATTTCCCCCAGAGTCACCCAGACCTATGATTCGGGGGCCTGTGTTTATTTCTACTTTGCTTACATGTACCGTGGCCTTAGTAACCCTATCGAGGTTTATGAAGATATCGAGGTGAGCTGCCGCTCTCATTCCTTAAACTCGAACTCACAATCTTTGTCTGGTTTGATATTTGGTGTTCTTCAACCCTCATATCGTGACTACTTTTTTAAAAATTACCCCCAAACAGTGATGTAAAACTTTGCTTCCCTCGTGATGAAAAGTGAGAGACTTGATTTATGAAAAATAAATTGTATGGATGCTTGTTTGTGGACATCAAAGGCAGTCGTTAATCTGCAGACTAGCCCCTGTAGATAGTTATGTATCAAACATTAGCAAATGGAATAAAAACACACGGTTTTATAGACGTACTTTGAATCGACAATATAGAGTATTTCAGACAAAAGGTGATGCAACAATAGTAATAATGATAAAAATACCCCTATTTCAGGAGTGAAAAAAAATATATATTAAAGTATTATGTAATAAGAAAATGGTGGTCATCCATGACCAAAAATTGTCTCTGTGAATCAAGTTGAAATCACTTTACATAGGAGACTTTGATTTAGCTCTGTCTAGTCCAACCCTTTTAAGTTTAGGTCGGAAAGTACACCTTAAGTCATGGTTCTAGCCACATCTTCCATGTTGGTTACCTTGGAAATGGTAGCCTGGTATCTGTCAGAGAAGATGTGGCCTGTACTTTCTTAACTTTTGTGAAAATAAACCAACATGATCAGCTTACATGTATGTGATCTTTTCTATATTGTAGGCTGCAGCAAGGGATGAGATCTTGGGTATCGGAGGAAGTCTGTCCCATCACCATGGAGGTAAGACTGAATTGTTTTCCCTCAAGCATGATATCTAGATAGCAAGCTAAACACGTGTACCCTGTAAAAGAAGTGAAACATCACCACGATGTCACTTTCCATCGACAGACATTAATTATCATTAGCTGGTTGTGGGTTCAGTTAGGAGAATGCCACTTCCATCATCAAACCTGTGGAAGTAGTTTTGTATATTTGAGAAAACTAATCATGCAGTGCTAATATTTGCAGCTAAACAGGGAAATCAAGACTTATGGTCAGATTTCTGACAACTCTTCAGAAATAATACATGTAGGGACAGAAATCTTTCACGTGCAATGTTTTGAGATGCGTGTCATTTCAGTATCATGAAATCATTTCATCATCATTAACAGATTTGACATTCAAATTACTTGCATGGAATCTCTTTCCTTTAGCTATGAACAAAAGGTTTTCATCTGTTTTGTTTTGCTTTGTATATTGTAGTTGGGAAGCTCCGCAAGCAATGGATGACCAAGGCAATCTCGGAACCAGGTGTGGAAACATTACGTGCCATCAAGAAACATCTCGACCCACAGAACATCTTTGGAAACAACTGCCTTATTTGAAGTGCACATTAATTTTGCATTTTTTTAATGTTACACAGCAAGTCATCTCATCAAAGCTGAACAGATACCCGCTTTTTCCTATGACGAATTTTCTTCTGAGGGGGAAAAATACCACTTGAGTGTCTTTCTTTGTTTTTTAAGCAAGCTGATCAAAGTGTCTTTAATGTCCTTCCTTGATTGACAACTTTATTTTTATGTAAATTGATCTAGTCCTTTTTATGGATGGATGAACAGTGACACATTACGTTATACAGAATTTGTTGTTGCATTGTTGTAATTGTAACTGCTATTTTTATGTGCTCTTGCATTTGGCCAACATGTCTGTCAGTGCAGTAATATTGTTTATCAGCCACGACAGAATCAAAATTAATTTTGTGTGATACTCTCATGTGCTTGACTAGGATTCTGAAAATCAGGAATCTATCGTGCAGTGTTTCCCTCAGGGTAATGATAAGAGTGAGGTGGTCCAATAATAGAAATGTATCAGTGTTTGTAGTGAATACATTGGCCTTGCTGGGTGTGCTGACAGGGTCTTAAATAAGATCCGAATTGTGCATGCACTGTTATTTTATGCCTTGTGTGACCTTTGGTTTATCAAAACAATCCAAAGGTGATCTACATGTATTCTACAAATGTTTAGCTTTCTGTTGTTCATGCTTTCTTTGATTATTTTCCTTTTCATTGAGTGAAAAGAACTTTGTGAGGTGGGCCACTTCACGTTTGAATGGACTGACGAAACCCCGGCATTGTGTGCATTGTAAATGTTCTCAAAAAGTCATAGATGTATACTATATCATATTAATGTGGGTCGCACAGAGATTCATTGATCAATATGTAGTTGACAATATAATGGGCCAATTATATTCGACAACAAAATGAACCACTCAAGTGTGCTTAAATGTAAACTTCAAATTTCCTCACTAGTTTATGCATGAATTGAATGCAGACATTTTGTTGTAATGGTAATCTAATCGTGAAGACTAATGCAAGCATTGTAAAAGATTTACAGGCAGGTGTAGTAGAGAGGTAATTATGGAATTACAATTGAAATCAAATTTGTCAATATGGGCAATAATATAAAAAGATTAAACAATATTAAGGCATGCTTTTGTTACTGTGGACTATCTGTAGCAACTTCATAAATACCTTAAGAAGGCCTGTTTCAACCTCTCGACATTTTTCAGTCTATGTCTGATTAGACATTTTTTTGATTTTTGTTTTGATGTAAAATTTCTTGAATATCCTATTGTGATTAGGAAGCTTAATGATAAATATCTTAGTCAGAAATTGAAATAATGTGAATTTTTAAAATTGATTCAAAAACCAAGATCTTAATTAAATACAAAATTGTCCAGGGAACTTTGCATTTATTTAGTACTTTTAAAGCAAAATGTTCTGTGTGCATCATCACGACTTACTCTTCACAGACTGCAGAATATCATGGGGAAAAGATGGGAAAAAACCCATTTGAGAATTATTTTTTGTCCCATTTGTTCATTGTTTTTAGTGAAGCAACGCATGCTAGTAAAATAGCAAAAGAACTTATTTGCATTTATGTGCAGTAGAGAGATATTTGTTATTCCACTGTAGTTTAATGAAAACAAATTGTCTTGGTGATGTACAACATGTGACGAATCATCTTCAGGATGAGGGTAATTTTTATAAGTAATGCAGAGATACAAGTAAGTTTAAAATACAGTCAGTGAAGGTATTGGCACTTAAATTTTTTTAAACAATTATAATTTGTCAGCCATAAACATTTAAGTATCCAACTTGATTCATGTGCTGTTTTTCATAGTTAGGTTTGTCCTTTGGTTTGCAGATAAGTGCATCCATTTTGAACATTTGATGTTGGACTGTGCCCATACATGTACACTGCCAGTCATTACATAAATGTATTTCCTCACTAGATTTCAAAACGAAATCAGTTATAAACTGAGATTTCTTTCCGACGACCTGTGCAGCTTTAATTTACCAAGTACTGTTTGTAATATTGTTGAGTAATAGACCTAGAACATAATGATGCCATGCTTTGTTTACATGTGCACTTTCCTTTGGGAGATCGATGGATCGTGTCCCACCTCACTGCTGGAGAAACCAAAACCAAATGTTATCAGTCAGGTAATAAGGTGGTTAATTTTTCTAGGGAAAAAAGGCGCTCTAATTGGTCCTCATAAGCTGTTTGCCTTTATTTCAATGCACTGGCTAAAAATATTGAAACTTGATGCTATATTTTAGTGGTCCACTTTCATGAAAAAAATTCTAGGCAGTGCTACCTATAGCTTCTAAACTTTTTGTTGGACAGTTGGAAAGGGAAAATACCCCTTAATGTTTGTAGTTAATGCTGTAAGGAGAATAAAATAATATCCTGGAACCAGGTTGTTTTTATTGATTGTTAGGTTCAGTGCTAGGTTTGAGGTTGGGGGAGCGCGAGGAATTTCTTCTAAAATAAAGATCCATAGTTCTCTTCATCAATCTACAAACAAGTCTAACCCCAGTCCTGAGGAAAAGGACAGATACCAAATGATTGAAGCAAACGTGCGAAGTGTTTGCACTTTCATTTCCTGAAAATTCCATGTGGATTACCAGATTTTTTGTTTTATGATAATGTTGGTATTATTTTAAGAGCATCTTCATGGAAGACTGTGCTGTTTGTCTTTGGATGGAAAGCATAAACATGGCTTGAAAATCGACTATTCAAGTTTCATATTTGTCTGGGAGAGGAAGAACTGCATTCTCCAAGTTTGGTTCTACGAGAGAGAAGTTAGCGCGTGATATGTCTGTCAGCTTCTCAGTCAGCAGATAACCAACTTTTTCACTGAGTTGTTCTCATTGGTTCCTAGTTCCTGCATCTATTTGCATTCTGATTAAGAGCATCGGCTGCATACATCCAATCACAAACTGCAATGAAGCCACACTTATCCTGCATGTACTTACAGTCGAAGCTCGCTGCAGCTAGCGGCTAGCCAGTGGCTAGACCCAAATACTGGGCCCTAGTCCCGATTCATAGAGATTTCTTTCGAAAAGTTATATCCGGGGACATAACTAAATATTCGCTTGATTTTATGAGCTGAAATTGCACTGGTGTGTTCACTACTTACGGAGTAAACTATTCGCTAGGTTGCTAATTGCAGAAAACTCGCTTTTTCTTCGTTTTGAGGAAAAAAAGTTGCCTTTTTTGCCGTTTTCCCACTCCGGACGAATTTTGGCCTGACTTGTCCATTACGCAAACCCCTTTGTATGGCTAAGTAATGGTAGCGTGTACGGGAGCCTGTCTAGTTTGCACCCATACTTCAGCACCTACGAATTTCGTTCAGATCTGCGAGAGTACCTGTCGATCTAAGTACAAGTGGAAAATGAGGCTGTTTTGTGTCGCAGTTAATGCGCAACGCCCTTGGCTAGTTCCCTATCCAGTCACACGCTGATTTTGGTAGCGCAGCTCGCTCTATGTGACGTGACACGAAAGTGACGAAACAGCCGTCAGTTTATGTAAGTGGGGCAAATTCGTCCGGAGTGGGAAACTGCAAAAAAAGCAACTTTTTTTCCTCCAAACGAGGAAAAGGCGAGTTTTCTGCAATTAGCAACCTAGCGGATAGTTTACCCCGTACGTAGTGAACATACAGGTGCAATTTTAGCTCATAAAATCAAACGAATGTTTAGTTATGCCCCCGGATAAAACTTTTCGAAAGAAATCCATTCGTCGTGCCCTGTTTACGGGTCTAGCCAGTGGCTACCGTTTGGTCCCAAGTGAGCGTGGTTTTGCCGGCCGCGTGAATCGCTGGCCGTACGCCTAGAGCTAGAGAAGGAGGGCCTAAAGTAGTTTGATGCGGCCTTGACCTCATTCAGACACACAGTCACTGAGCTTTTTTTTTTTTTTGGAGTCCAGCTGCAGTGGATTTGGATGGAAAACAGTATGCCTTCTACTGGCAACCTTTATGTATGTACTGAGGAGTGTTACTCGTTACGTTAGTCAGTAGAGACTGACGCTATCTCGGTGTCCAGCAGGTGGACTCGACTCCAGCATATCTAGATTACTCGACCTTGCGTACAAAGTGATACTGCTGGCATGGGCTTATCCATGTTTGCATTGTGCGCAAACCTATGGAAAACTCGAAGTTTAACCTTTGTACGGCTACATGTAAGTGCATATCTGCATCTGTATTCTGAAAGGATTGTCAACAATACCCAAAACCTGAATGCACGTTTCATTTTGCTGGCTGCAAACAACGCAAACGCATGCGTGTACACGTACATGTACATGTATTTGTATGTGCTGCTGGTATATATTGCTGTATAACTTCCAAGTGATTTTTCCAAATAGGCGGTACATGTACCAGTCTAGCAAAAAAGACCTTGAACTCGCTTCCTAGTCCCTCTCGACTTCATGTTCAAGTGTACCAGTCTTGTACAGTCTACTACTTTTTGCCAGTTGTGTGCATATTTACAAACAATTGCGTGCTTTACGTTTTTTCGTTTGAAATTTGCTCAAAACAGTATCAATCGTTGTCATTATTTTTCATTCCATCAAAATAAAGGCCATCCAGCAAAATGGTAATGTTAAGTCTAAAGGAAAAATGTGAAATATAAAATGAACAGATTGCCAAATGTGAGCGAACAAATTACCTCCATCTGAAAAAATATAAAAATACATAGTACAACCAGGGCAGGCCTCCTGTAATTTCTTTTTATTCCACAGTACAAATCCTTTCCTCCTTGTGAACCTCGAGCTGGACCAAAAGAGGGCGCACTTTTCTCAGCAAGGAAGGCTCTTTTCGTTGGAAATGAAGTTTGCTCATTGATAAAACAGAAATACACGTGTTAAAGTCACATCTCTACCAACAAAATGTACACTCTTGACCAGTATGGCTGTCTTCAACCAATGAGGGGACCTTGCTTCTCCTTGAGGCAGATTTGTGCAATGCCCAAGATGAAAAGAGTTTATCTGCCCCACAATGTGCAAGTCACAACTTGCATGCCCAGTGGTTTTCTTCTGCCAGTGTTCGACTTACACATGCAAGTAAAGTCCAGGAAGAAGTTAGAGCCAAACTGCTGTCACTTTCCGGCTTTGTTCCTAAAGTTGGTTGGCCAATCAGATTTTGTGAAGACTGCATTGATGAAGTCAAAAGAAAATTCCTGAAAGTTATTGGGAAGACTGACTCTCCCGTGGAATGCCAAGAAGAACAATCCTATTCAGATGATCACACCTGTGCCAAAAAATGGAACAACCATAACCTTGGTGTTGCTTTAGTCACAAATGATTGACAAACTGAGTAGAGACGAACATGCCCAAGTTGCATTTCATCTTGGGAGTATGGAAGGAAAGGATGTTACAAATGATTCACTTAACCTATCAGACTGTCGGACCATAGATGAAATATTGGATGTGCTACAGCTTCATAGATTTGTTGCTTCTAGAAATAGAACTTTTGTTGCATTCCTTGGTGGGTTGGCAAATCAAGATTTTCCTGCTTCCGAATTGCCACCAAACAAGACAATCTCAGGCACCTCTTAGCAGTGTAGACTATATCATTTGTGTAAGACAGTTGAATCTATCATGCTTACTTCTACATGTATTTGCATACATGGACACTTACTTCCATTCTTTTCCATGAGAGCTCACTCTTGCTTTCAGCTGTTACCGGCAAAATAGCATCTACTGATCACACCTCTCGGTAGCCAACATGCCTTTGTCCTTGTCCCAGACGGTCTTGGTACTTTTTTCCTGCCATGCAGTGACATATTGGCCATCAGAAAGCATTTATGTCCTAAAAAGTCAACCTTAGAGTGGAAAATACATGTGCATGTATATGTTTGTGTATTGAAGCAGTTACTTCGAAAACACTTGACATATTTCAGACTAATCTTGTCACTCCACCTGGTGTCAAGTGATGTATGGTATTCTTTCCCATCTTTTCAGTAAAAATACATGGTGATACAGTATGGCATTAATTTGTGGTTGATGATGAGTACAAGGCCGAATAGTTGTGTTGTGCAGAGCCACTGATCTGTCCGGATAGTGGCTTTGCATGAAACCTAACATAATGCTCTCTGTCATAAGGGGACATATCACTGGATTTGTTTATTGTCTAATACTGTGGCTCTTAAGCAGTGTAAACTTTCATGTTGGCCGTGTCCAAATGTTGTGGCTGGTAATAAGGCACACATACATGTACACATGTACTTGTATGTGTCACTGGAAACTGAATGAAGCCACAAGGTTGTGGCTTTCAAAGGCATACATGTATGTACATATGTGTGTTGTTTTCAGCCTCAGCCTCAGTTGAAAGATTCGGACACTTGGGACTTCTGCACAAAGAAGTTCATTTTTACATTTCTGATGAGCCTCTGTAATTTTTTTTTCCAGGAATTGGTCGTTCGTGATCTTGTGTCGTCACACAATGAGAACCGAGTTGCTGCATGTCACAAGTTTAATTCATCGTGAGGTTAATCATCCTAGAAATACAGTCAATTCATATTCTGACCAACTGTTGAGGAACTAATATTACCAGACCACACAATGGCTATTGGACAAGGAATTTACAAATACCTAGCTGCTGAGCATGTCTTGTTTGTTTACATGATGGCGTCTGGTCTTAGTATCCCCACAAAGACACAGTATATCGAGAGGCGTATTGCAAAAGACTTGGGCGTTGAGTCTTACACGGAGACAACTTGTTTGACCAACAAGTCCAGCCCTGATTATGAGATACAGGTGGAAATTCAACGTCAGAGCACCATGTGGATGTTGTACATAACCCTCTGCATTCAGTTCCCGGCATTGATCTTGAGCAACATATGTGGTGGCATCAGCGATCGTTATGGTCGGCATGTCCCCTGTGCTGTTCCCTGCATTGGGCTCATTCTTAACTATGTCATCAGCGCCATTGTGGTGGTGTTCGAGCTGCCCCTGGCTATGTTCCTGGCAGCGAGTTTGATAGTAGGGTTGTCAGGTGATGTGACGTCGGTCGTGACCGGTTGTGCAGGGTACATTTCTGATGTTACCCTCCCCAAAAGCAAAGAGAGGACAACCCGCTTTGCTCTGATCGATGTTTCCTACACTATGTCAAACAGTTTAATCCAGTTTGCTATTGGCTACGTCATCAGCCTCTACGGTTTTGCCGCGCCTTTCTACGTGGGTATTGTGTTGATCGCCATCTGTGCCTGCTGCATCATATTTTGTCTCCCTGACAGGCGTGCTTACGCGCCCAGCTCATCAACCAACACTGCAATTCAGACAAATAGTTCCAGCAAGGAAGAAACTCCAAAGAACCCAATCAATGTTTTCAGAAATGTGTACTGCCTCTTCAAAAGTGCCCCAGGCAGGCCTGGCAGGCGAGGTTGGCGGCTGTGCGCCTTCAACTTCATCATTTGCGCCAGCATCATGTTAATTGTCGCCAACTCTGTTATCAGTGTCCTGTACACCACGGGGCAGCCGTTCTGCTTGAATCCTGTTCAAGAAGGACATTATGGTGCTGCTATGTTTGCTGTTTTCACTGGAGGTAAGTCAGCAGTTGAAAAGCTTGCCAAAAACTGAGAAATAATTAGCTGAACTGCAGACATTTTTATTGTAATATGGGTTTATAGTAAACCATTTAATTGTACAGAGTAATGTTCGCATTTTGTTGAAATATAAAAACAGCTCAAAAGGCGACTGTGTAGGAGCTCTAAACAGTTAGCAGTGTACATGCGTTTGAGTCTTTGGTCGAGTGCTGTGCATGCTGAATGTATGGACTGATATTATCGCCATGGTTGCCTTGATTGAATTACAGGCTACCGGTACCATGTGCCGGCTCATGCGAGCAAACTGCATAGTATACATGACGGTTAAGAATTTTGTGCAGGGAACCAGTGGTGTATGCTGCCCAAATCACTGCCTGGATAGGTAGTTGAAATGTAGTATCAGATGAGTTGGTTTTGTTGGGAAGAGCTTGTGTTGTTTGAATGAGCAGGTACCTTGCTGGCGGTGACAGTCCTTCAGCGATTTCTGCCACCGTTTTGGATCATGCACCTGACATCGGTCTCTGTCATCTCATCGGTTGTCCTTGTGGCTCTAGCAAAGACAACACTCCTCCTTTACATATGTGAGTGAGTATTGGTTACATGGTTATGTACAGTTGCATGCATGTTAGATTAGAAAAATGAAAAACTCTTTGAACCAAAGCTTGGGTGTTTAGTGAACACCAAAGTGAAATGAGTGTGTTTTCATCTTAAACTTCTTGAAGTGGGTTGTTTTTGTTGTGTGCACATGCTGTTGAAATGCATAACAAACTCTTTGAAGTTCAAGCTTCCTTGTTGTGATCCCAGAGAACAATAGACCCCTTGTGTGAAGGCGGAGTCAGAGGCTATTTGTTATTTTAATTTAATTACAATGAATGCACAAAAGGTTTACTCAAAGCCTATCCTAGGGGAAGAAAGAAATGTGCTTCAACGTGAGGTCATACACGGGGGGGTCTATTCTGCTAGAAACAAAATGTCCGGTCCTCTAACTTTTATGGTTTTCACAGTTTCATTTCACTCCAGTCAGGAAATAGCACTCTTGTGATATTCTTCATGATTAAGCACGTACCGTAATGTTCCTTTGATCCCATAGCGCTCTTTGTTGGAATGTTCACCTACATGGCAATTCCTGTGTCAAGGAGCAAAATGGCAGATATGTATGAAGCGGACGAACAAGGTGAGTCCAAAGGAAATGACTCTTGCACATTGACACTAGAGGGCGCTCTTATGGACGGATTAAGTACCACCGGCCTATAATACATTTGATGGACAGTGTCTGTTGAAATCAGTGTCTGGATACCGTAACTTTGATGGCATCCGATGGACTAATGAAAAGGCAGATGCAAGTTGTTGAAAAGTGTGCACTAGTCTATGGAGTGATATCGGGATGAGTGATGCAGATTGGAAACTTAATGTGGAGGATAACGTACAGACGATGACTGAAAATACTGTGAAGCATTTCCTTCCTTTGTAACAGTTGTGGTTTGGTTTGCTATTTATCAAAAATAAACTTATTCTTTAAAAAAATCAGAACTATTGGTAAAAACACCATTTAATCACGATTTAAATCAAATGATTTTTTTTTTAAAAAAACCACTGATTTAAATCAACATGTTGAATCTTTTATAGAAAAAGGCAAAAATGTTTAAATTTTTGAATTTTTGACTGTGTTGAAATGTTTGCAGGTTTTCCACATTTTAATTAAACAGCAAATTCCCCTCTGTGGGCCTTCCAGTTCCTAGTATTAACCCTAACCCCCAAGGCTCCTGCACTAGAAAGCATACTGAACCTCACAAAATCCAACAGGTTTATGTACTTGTCTGTGCACTTGTACATCCAGGTTACTGTACCAAACCTG